GTTGCTGGCGTGGATGCCACAGGGGCGTATCGTGATCATGCACAAAGTGCAGGAATGGACATTCATGGTGAGCGGCAGATTCTAAAGCCAAGTTTGAAAAAATATAAATTACTTGTGGGACATGATTAAAATGTTTAGTTAACTACAGGGTCTGCAAACATATTTTTAAGGTATAGAGAACGATCTTTTATTACCGGATGGATCATTAAAAGAAGTGGTCCTCCTAATTGTTAATCATTCTGGTGAGATGTTTACATAAAGGTGGTCCTTCGTGCTCGTCCCGTTTAATATCTTTTTCTGCGCATGTGCTCTTTCAGCTGGATATGTGTGGTGAGCTACGGTTTCAGTCATTGAAGCTCACTTTTCTCACCATGGTTCTTTGAAAATGGCCCATGGTCGTAAGTGAAAGTGTGTACGAGGTGTGAGAAGAAAAGAAAGAGGCAGAAGAGGCATTTATATCTCAGAATCCTTTGCGCAGAGAGCTTTCCTCACAAAGCATTATGGGCCTTCCGACAGCTGCGACTAATGACAGAGACGACGCAGGCACTGCACGGAGGAGGAGGAGTTACATGATCAACGGAGCAAAAGACGGTTATCTGTCCGAATGGTCAGTTAACTGAGTTTGCTATAAAGTCCACTATATAGTCCCCGCTGTATGTGGATGTAGTAAGCTTACATGAGCTATGAGAACAGCACATTTTAAACACGAGGAGAAATGGGCTCATGCAAGCACTTTCGTGCGCTTTTTTTTTTTTTTTTTTCAAGTGGAGAGGGTGTGTCTTTCAAAATATCATCCAGAATACCTTTAAATCAAAACCACACAGTGACAAAATAAACCAACTTTTTCAAATAAAAAAAAGCTTTTTCCTAAAACATAACTTATTTAACAGACTTATTTGGAGAAAGCTTTTAAAATGTCTGATTTGTCCTTCTCTTTTTTTGTTCAAGCTTCTTATCAAAGAACATTGGGCTCACAGGTTTTTTTTTGTTTTTTTTTTTTTGTGTAGATCCTGAAGACCCTGGTTGTGGCTTTGCTGGTCGCTGGAGTCATCCCACTGTTACTGGGGCTGCTGTTTGAACTGGTTATAGTGGTCCCACTTAGAGTTCCTCTGGACCAAACACCTCTGTTTTATCCTTGGCAGGTAGGATTATATTTGCATGTGGAACGATCAGGTCCATTTTTGAATTTATATAGACTTTTAGAAGTTCTTACATTTTCATGCATTGATGCCACTTTCAGGATTGGGCTCTTGGAGTGCTCCATGCCAAAATCATTGCAGCCATCACCCTCATGGGCCCACAGTGGTGGCTTAAGGCTGTTATTGAGCAGGTAGGGGAATAAAGAAAAGTCAGCGTTTGGACTAATGTGTTACAGTAACTATGGTAGCTCTCCACTAAGTAACGCTGTAACCAATACGTTTTTAAAAGTCAGTAATGTCAATTACTATGCTTTAAACAGGTTTGTTATTCGGTACTTGCCATGTATAAATAAGGACTACAGTTTCAACACGTGTGTTACACACATTTGTTTTATCACTTTGTGTAGTTAATCTACTTACTAGATGCACCTTAAGCTTTAATCAAAGCTGTTATCATACTTAACAATATACCAATGACTTTGCAATTATAATTGTTTTATTTTCCTGCAGTTAATAGACTAAACTAAAATAAAATGAACTGTAGGTGTTAAATCTGTATGTGCAAAGCTTTGAGATGACTTTTGTTCTTTTTTGGATGACTTTAAACTTTTACCTGTTGGCTCTTCTCTCTGTAGGTTTATGCTAATGGAATTCGCAACATTGATCTTCACTTCATTATCAGAAAACTGGCAGCTCCTGTCATCTCAGTGCTGCTGTTGTCCCTGTGTGTGCCGTACGTGATAGCTGCTGGGGTGGTGCCTGCCGTAGGTCAGTGTTAGAAATGCTTTTATTTTTTAATTTGCCTTATAATATTGCAAACAAACATCAGAAAATCCAGTTTAGACCAGTTTGAATTTCATAGTGTCCATATTTTCAAGTTGTCAAAGTAGTGAGCTGTTTGAAAATTGGACACCACTGAGTGTTCTAAGTGTAAAATGATCCTAATGTGCATCTAAACTGAATTCACCATGAGAGAAGATTTTATTACCGTATTTTCACGACCATAAGGCGCACCGGACTAAAAGGCGCACTCTCAGTTATGTGTCCCATTTCTGTATTTAACACACACATAAGGCGCACCGGACTATAGGGCGCGTTTTTTATATACAGGTACATGTCCTCTCAGGTGGATTTTCCCACTTAAAAACATATTAAAACTACTTTATTCCCACTGATCACAGCAAATAAAGCTGCAAGGTGTATTTATTACAAAGTATTATTCAAACCTGGGAGCTGGCCATGAGAGACACATCGCTGATGACACAGGGCTGTGATTACTCCTCTGATACAATTTATTGACGCATAAATTAACTTAAAACATAGGCAGGATAATAATCTGGATGAACTGACTGCAATGATTAAATTTTCAGGTGGACTTTCTCACTTAAAAAGATTTAGATTATTTAGATGAAAAAACACCTGCGGAGGTGAGTCCGGATGCGCGGACCAGAGCCTGCTGTTGAATTAAGTTTTCAGGTAGAAAAATAGAGCGGGAGCAAAACTGAGTATGATTGTGCTTTATTCAAGTATTTATTACAAAGTATTAATCAAACCCCTCAAAGTCCTCATCCTCTGTTTCTGAATTAAACAGCTGCGCTAAATCCGACATGCCGGTTTCCCCTTCTTCTTCGTTTATTGACGCATAAATTAACTTAAAACATAGGATAATAATCTGGATGAACTGACTGCAATGATTAAATTTTCAGGTGGACTTTCTCACTTAAAAAGATTTAGATTATTTAGATGAAAAAACACCTGCAGAGGTGAGTCCGGATGCGCCGCGGACCAGAGCCTGCTATTGAATTAAGTTTTCAGGTAGAAAAATAGAGCGGGAGCAAAACTGAGTATGATTGTGCTTTATTCATGTATTTATTACAAAGTATTAATCAAACCCCTCAAAGTCCTTATCCTCTGTTTCTGAATTAAACAGCTGCGCTAAATCCGACATGCCAGTTTCCCCTTCTTCTTCGTTTATTGACGCATAAATTAACTTAAAACATAGGCAGGATAATAATCTGGATGAGCTGACTGCAATGATTAAATTTTCAGGTGGACTTTCTCACTTAAAAAGATTTAGATTATTTAGATGAAAAAACACCTGCGGAGGTGAGTCCGGATGCGCGGACCAGAGCCTGCTGTTGAATTAAGTTTTCAGGTAGAAAAATAGAGCGGGAGCAAAACTGAGTATGATTGTGCTTTATTCATGTATTTATTACAAAGTATTAATCAAACCCCTCAAAGTCCTCATCCTCTTTCTGAATTAAACAGCTGCGCTAAATCCGACATGCCAGTTTCCCCTTCTTCTTCGTTTATTGACGCATACATTAACTTAAAACATAGGCAGGATAATAATCTGGATGAGCTGACTGCAATGATTAAATTTTCAGGTGGACTTTCTCACTTAAAAAGATTTAGATTATTTAGATGAAAAAACACCTGCGGAGGTGAGTCCGGATGCGCGGACCAGAGCCTGCTGTTGAATTAAGTTTTCAGGTAGAAAAATAGAGCGGGAGCAAAACTGAGTATGATTGTGCTTTATTCATGTATTTATTACAAAGTATTAATCAAACCCCTCAAAGTCCTCATCCTCTGTTTCTGAATTAAACAGCTGCGCTAAATCAGACATGCCAGTTTCCCCTTCTGCGCTGTCAGAGTCACTTTCCGTGCAGCGCGGCTCCTCAGAAATAATGCCTGCTTTTGCAAAAGCTTGAAGAACAGAGCCAGCAGACACGTTATTCCTCGCTGCTTCTGCTGCACCTGCTGGGTCCGGTTCACACCGATGTCGAGCGGTTGAACAGCGAGCACAGGGTTAATTTGTTTCCCCATGTTTTTCACATCAGCTGTGAGATGGGCACGCATGGAGTTACAGATTAATGGTTATGAGTGGAAAAAAAACAACTGGTCTCTTTACATTCAGCCACTCTTTCATCATCTCCTCAATGAGGTGGTCTCAAAAGTCGCAGTTACAACACACATAGGGCGCACCGCACCATAGGGCGCACCGCACATTTTGAGGGGGAAAAAAGACGTTTAAGTGCGCCTTATAGTCGTGAAAATACGGTAGTCTCACTGCGGGGGGAGGTTAATTCATTAAAGCAGCTTAGAAAACACAAAATAAATGAAAGGAAGTCAGCACAGAATAAGTCTTAGAAAATAAAACAAATAAGAAAACCAATGTGATGAAAATATAAAAAGATGGGTATAAGATGCAAACTTTAGGCTTCTGGAATGATTTCAACCTCAGGCAGATTCACAGCTTGTGGACTTTGACTGAAAGCAGGACTGATGGCAGAAAGCTAAATTATTTAAATTAGTTTTTCCATCTCTGAAATGAAAACTAGAAAGTTGCCCTGTCAGACTTATGTCAAGAGCTTTACAGCTACAGAAAGTGTTTGATTTTACTGCAGTGTGCTAATCTACACTTACCCAAATATTGGTGTATGTTTAAACATTAGGAAATATGCATAATTTTAAGACTGTTTGGATAATAAACAAAATTGTCTATAACTTGAAACTAGTGCATCCAATATTTCCAATATTTATATATCTAAACTTAACTGATAAAGGTGTTCTTTACCATAAAACTTTCTCTGAAAGTAATTTTATTTCAGTCAGATTATTTCAAATTTCCATACACACAAACAATAATGCCTGCATTAAAATGTTAAGTGAATAAAAGTGAGGAATATTGCTGTTGTTGCAGGAGTTACCCCTGAAATGGAGATCCTGATGCAGAGGAGAATCTACCCATTCCTATTGATGGTGGTATCCCTCATCGGCATCCTGTCTTTCCAGATTAGACAGTTTAAACGACTCTATGAACACATTAAGAATGACAAGTATGCATGTTTGTTTTTTAAATTGTTTTCTGTCATATTCTGTTCATAAGCTTAACTACACTTCTTGTTGCAAAGATTTAAGTTTGCTTTGGCTTCATTTTGGGAAGTCATTTTTGTATCTTTGTATAAAGAATTACTGTCATTATCTAAATGTTTAAGCAAATCCTATATGTTGTTAAAAAAAAAGGCTTAATTTCAGTCCATATCTGACCCTTATTCTTCCCACGCAGGTACCTGGTTGGTCAGAGGCTTGTCAACTATGAACGGAAATCCAGCAGAGCGAACTCAATCCCAACCTCCAATCCCATCGTTGAATAACATCTTTGAGTTTTAATGTGTGCCACATTTTTCCCACCCATTTTTTGACCCTCTACCCTAAGGGGCAACAGAGGAGGGTCTAAACATCATGTATTTGTCATTCACGCCTTGCTCTGTGAAGCGCTGCCTCAGAATTGTACATGTGTAAATACTTTGAAAGCAGATTTTCTCGTGTGAAAAAGGATATTTGTGGATTAATGCAATGATCATTGTACATCTTAAAACCTGTATGTATAATTTATTAAATCAAAGTGACAGTTTATCTTTTCTGTTGCATGTTTTCAACAACAGAGTGAGTGTGGTTGTTTAAAAAAGGGAGTCTTGTTGAAATTAGGAGGCAAAGTTGTAATACTAATAATTGTTGAATTAAAAGTATGAATCTAGTTATTTTGAATGGAGTAAAAATCAGTAGCCAGTTTCCCCCCTTGATAGGTTAATTACTAAAAAAAATTAATGTATGTTTTTACATAATTTTGAAATCCTTTTAAAGAACTTTCTTTTTTTTTCTAAAAACAATTCAATTTCAGTTTGGTTTATTTATATAGAAATGTCAAATCAAGGCACTTTACAGTTCACCAGATCATAGTCAAATTGATTCAAAGTTTTCAATCCAAGGAAAACAACTCATTGACTTGGATGCAATTCCTCACACTAAGCATGCTTGTAGTGACAGTGGAGAGGAAAACCTCCAGCAGAACCAGGCTCAGTGTGAGCGGCCATTTGCCGAGATTGCTTTAAATTATAGCCAATTCAAATCTGCTGCTTTTAAGACAAAATTAAAATTTCAGACAACCTCAAAGAAAATAAACGGTTAAGGAGCATCTATATATGTATTTTTTTTCCCTTCATATTATTTATAATGATATATTGGAGATAAATCAGTACATAACTGGGGGTGGAGTGATTGTGTCATCCTTTGGTATTAGAGGAGATGGAAGTACTATCCCAAAGTGTTCTTCCAGAACTGTTGGGATCTCTTCATCTTCAAGCTCTCTGGTTGTGGTTTCCATCACGCCTCCAGTCGCTTCTGATGGAAACCTGCTGATTTTCAGCCTGCAGCCGATGTAGGTCACCCTTCCTTCCGGTTTCAACACCGTGCAGAGCGACTTGCAGAAGAAGATGGAGCTCGGAGAGCTCTGGTGATAAAGGCACATCTCGGTGAAATCCCCCAGAAGCCGAGACTGCAGGGTGAACTTATAGATCTCCGACCAGTCTCCATGTTCCCCTCTGTTTTCCTCCTCCTGCCACTCTAGAAAGAGCGTTTCTCTGTCCCTTCTGAGCCGGTAAACTCTGTGTCCCTGCTCCTGAGGTCCACATGTCTCTATAGACAGCGGGACACTGAAACCAGGAACACCGAAACCGACGTCACACAGCCACCGTTTCCCTTCCAGGGTGACCATTAAGATCAGGTGGTCAAACGGGGGGCCGTAGCGGCCGGTGATGGAGTTCTTCACCTGGCCTGCGAGCACCGTGACCTGGAAACCCAGCTGGCTCAGGAGCCAGTAGAACAGAGAGTTATTCTCGAAGCAGAATCCACCTCTACGCTGCTTCACGATCTTGTCATAGAGGATCGGGAGGTCCAGTTGGACCCGTCCGCCGCTGTGAACCGTCAGGTCTTCAAATGGCACCGAGAGCAGGTGGCATCTGTGGACGGAGCGAAGCAGCTCCAGGCTGGGGACATCTGAAGGCCCTGTAAACCCGATCCGCAACAAATACCGATCCACTTCCATTTTAAAGGAAGACGGTTTTTTTCGTTCCGGTCCCACTCTGCTTTACTTTCACTTTTATTTGCTTTGAAAATAGAAAACTGGGAACAAAGATCAAACCGGATAGATTGCTTTCGGCTGGAAAGAGTTGGTGAACGAGGTCAAAGTACACAGAAAATGCTTGTAAAATGAAAGAGTAAGGAAAAAACTCCAGGGGCGGAGCTAGATGGGGGGCCAGGGGTGGCTATGGCCCCCCTCATACATGGCAACCCCTGGGGTCGGACTGGGAACGATTTTCGGCCTGTCACTGCCCAATCCATCCCGCGAATGTGCGAATAGATAATGTTATTATGGTACCAAAACTACTCATTTCTATCCTTAACTCACTAAAGAATACTACAAAGCCCCCTGGGTGTCGAGGTAAAAAAAAAAAAAAAAAAAAGAAATGAGCGTACGTGCCCGCAGATTAGTGCTACTTGGTCCCAATGTAATTTCCCATTGGGAACCTACTAGCACTAAGTTGCTAACTGGTTAGGAAGATGCTTCTGACAAATTGACCACAACCAAACTTGCTTGAGAACCTACCCCTACAGCATCCCCCCCTTTGTAATCGACCAATCATATAGATATATATATCTATATATATATATATCTATATATATATATATATATATATATATATATATATATATATATATATATATATATACACTACCGTTCAAAAGTTTGGGGTCACATTGAAATATCCTTATTTTTGAAGGAAAAGCACTGTACTTTTCAATGAAAATAACTTGTCTTAACTTTAAAGAAATACACTCTATACATTGCTAATGTGGTAAATGACTATTCTAGCTGCAAATGTCTGGTTTTTGGTGCAACATCTACATAGGTTTATAGAGGCCCAATTCCAGCAACTATCACTCCAGTGTTCTAATGGTAAAAATTTGTTTGCTCATTAGCTCATAAGAGGGCCAATGAGTAACCCCCCCCCCTATTATAAATTATTTTTTTAGAATTGCCATTGACTGTTAAAGTTAAACTTTTAACTTAGGTATCATTCGTTTAAGTTAGTAGCCCACTTGTTTTATTTTCTTTTTAGTTTTTTTTTTAATCTTTACTCTAATTTTGTTTTGTTTGTTTTTTTACTGTTTGCAATGCAAAGCACTTTGAATTGTGTCTTTTATCCAAATAAAAAAATACATTACAAAAAATACAATACAAAAAAAAACTTTAAAAAAATCTTATTTAAATTTTATTCTAAATAACTTTTTTTACTTAAACCTAACCGTTTTTTACTTTCATTTATTTTATTTAAACCTAACCTCCTTCTACGCGGGTACGTACAGTGACGTCATTACGGCCAACACTCCCTGTTCCTCCAGTAGCAGAGGGAGAAAGATGGCGCCCACACACGTACTGAGATGCTGTCAACGGGGTTTAGCCTGGATCCCTGTGATTTTTATCGCCCTTGTCGTCTGTTGGTCCTACTACGCTTTCGTGGTGGAGCTTTGTGTGTGTAAGTGTGCGCCTCGCTGCTTCCCGTCGCGTCTTTAAAGGCTTCAGACGGACATGTTTTCATTGTTGTGTCCACTCAAACACCCAGCTGCTGTTGCTGCTGCTGTGGCTGCCATCAGGAAGTGAATGGACTGCAGCTCAACAATGGTGCTGCCAGCCAACCCGGCCGGCCGTTTGCTGACATTTAGTCGATTTGAGCTCATTTTGTTTTGTTATTTTTTTTCCGCTGGAATGTGTTTTCCCTGAAGAATAAGCCTGACTCAGCTGCTTGTCTTGTATTTCTGGTTTTCTCTTCAATTTTAACAGACAGTTAAACCAACATTTTTCCATGCCGGCACCTTAACAGTCAGCATAAAGCCTGGAAAATATTTGCTTTGAGTTATGATGCATTTTAATTATAGTTTTGGTTTAAATAATGTTTGCTCAAGGCTCACTTGTTGGTTTATTTTAACTTACATGGTTAAAATGCTGTATAAGCAGATTTTTATATTTGAAGTATATTTTTAAAAAGCCAGCCTGAAGCTCTGATCCTATCTGTATTTTTACCGTATTACACAAAGAGGCAGTATATTTCCATTTGATCCTCACCCTCCAGCAAAGAGATTCAGCTGATTTTAACTTGATTTGCTGTTTTTGATGATCATCAGGTCAAAAGCTGAAAAGCCTTGTCTTTCTACCATTAATCAGATCTGAGCCATTTAAATGTTAATTTCTTGAATTGTTTAATACAATGCAATGCTCTTTTTGATGTTTTTTAAAGTGTGATAAGGGTAATAACCTTTGATATATCAATCACAATGTGAAAAATGAAAAGAATTCACTTTAAACAAAAATAATGGAAAAACTTTAAGTGGATCGGGACTTTGACATAACAATAATTATATAAAAAAAATCTGTGGTTGGACATTCAGTAATAAAACAGATTTTTTTTTCTTAAAGGCATATTAATACACATCTGGTTTTCCACCTGTTTATTTTCCACGTGATTTCCCTGCTTTCCATGTTACATGACATCTTTGTGTTTAAGTACAAACAGCAGCACTGAGATTCCTATTTAGAGTCTTTAGTTATTTCCTTTTTTTTTTTATCTGTTGAGCATGTTTTTATCCTCTCAGCATTGAGAGAATAATAAAAACCTTTACATATTGGGGGAAATGTCGCTTTGCATTTAACAAAAAAATTGAAAGCAGTCATTGAATTGCTAACAAATCTGTCTGGACTTGAAGTTTTCTAGAATTGAACTGCTGTGATATGAATAAATTGGAGCAGGTGATTTGTGTGGTGAAAAAGAATGCATGGAAATGTATTGGTTTGCCAGCTTTGAAATTAGTCAAACTGCCTCGCCAAGGTTCACAAACACCTTTTTGACCAGAGCTCCCTGTTTCATATGTTTTACCGACTTCCTGGGAGGCTCTCAGAGTAATGCTCTTCTTGCCCAGTTTGTCAGTTTATGTAAGCAGACATGCCGTACTCCTGGCAAGCTTTTGCACGGTGGACTGAAAAGTGCTTTAATAAACTCAGCTTCAGACGTATCCATAACTCTCTGACCTGTCTGATGCGTCATTCGGTCTGAATCAGGTTTTATTTAGCAGTTTCAGACTGTGCTGAGCACGGATTCTCAAAAGATTTCTGAATATGTTAAAATCTTTTTATCTGCTACTCTGTAATGAATAGCACTTAGCGTTAAGTCAGCTAAAATCCCTAATAATGCTGAGAATTTAGAGTTTTTTAGATTTGACAAAATGTAAAAATGGTCTAAGAGCCATTATTTTTTCCTGTTCTAATGTTTTAAGATCAATAAACGTAACAATGGATTTTAACATTTTCTCTTTATCTCTTGCAGTCACCATTAGGAATATAGGAGAGCAGGGTAAGTTTTGCAAAACATAAACAATGTGCTGAAGTTGTTGTGAATGGAATTTTACTGAACAGAGGTCAGCTCTTTGCCAGCTCTCCTCGCTGGCACAGAAACTCTGCGCCTATTAAAGTTTGCTCGCTTGTAGCCTTGAAGCTCCTCCTTAATCAGCATTACCTTTTTGCAGTCCACTCCCTTTAATTATATAGCTGTGTGGTTCCCTCCTCAGGCCTGTGGTCTGAGTGGCAGCAGTTCTGTCCTGTCTGTTCACTTACTGGATGGTTTGTGTTATTCTCCCCCCTGATCCGTTCTCCCCTCCTTCCATCTCCAGTTATCTACCTGATCTTCTTCCACCTCTCTTTCGTCATGTTTGTGTGGTCTTATTGGAAGACCATCTTCACCAAGCCTGCCAACCCTTCCAAAGAGGTACAGGACCCCAAAGCACACCCCCATCTCCGTCTGCATGCCTCTGCTCTCCTTTTGTGATCAGATTAGTTCATTCAGGAAGGAGCTTGTCTTTTTCCTTCCAGTTTTGCCTGCCGAAAGCCGAGAAAGAGCGCTACGAGAGGGAGGAGAGGCCAGAGTCCCAGCAGGAAATCTTATGGAGGGTCGCCTCCAACCTTCCTCTGTACACCCGCACAGGTGCTGGAGGTAAGACCCCCCTCTAATTTGGTAAAAGAGAATCAGCTTTTGTTTCATTTAGACTTAAAAATTGTGCTAATGTCGTCGCAGCAATCCGCTACTGTGACCGCTGTCAAGTCATCAAGCCAGACAGGTGCCATCACTGCTCTGCTTGCGACATGTAAGACCATTGCATGACTATCATCTATGAGTTTCTCTTTTCTTTTTTGGTGTATTTAAGTTTATTTTTATCACTTTTCTTTTGCAGGTGTGTGCTGAAGATGGACCACCACTGTCCTTGGTAACTCCCATCTTCATAAAGCACATAAAGCAGCGCATGATTGTGAAGTAAAAGAAAACAGGGACATAGCTTGTGCTGTGCCAGCAATTAATTAGGAAAGCAAGCTAAGCAATAAAAAACAAAAATGTGATTAGATTAAAACAGAACCAGGAGTCATCATTGATCAATGTCGTATTCACCTGCTCGTGAAGTTGGCAGCCGGTCTTTTACATTTTCCAAGACTCATTTTTTTGGTGTTTGTAAATGGATAAACTTTGTTCCACCCTCTAAACACTTGGAGTAAAGTGTGTTTGAATTGCATTTTCCAGCTGAAAACATTCAGCCATTTATTAGATGCTTTTTTAAAATGTTTATTTCCATCTCTGCTTTGCCTTCATAATGTAATATTCCAGCATTGTTGCTGGAGAGAAAGATGCTGCTGCTTCTGAGGTGGGTTGGGGGTGTTACTTGAAGACAAATGATGATCACTGATTGGTCAGTATCTGATAAGAATCTTAGATTGATTGACAGGTGGCATCACGTCATTTGCATTATGAGATATTTGTACCAGCTGTTATATTTTTGCGCTGCCACTTTTCTAGGATTATGTTTCTAAATTTTTGTAAACAATGTATATATTCATTAAGTTTACGTTTTTATTACAATTTTTGTTGATGTATCTCAATATGTAGGCAAATGAATTAAAGCATTATGCCTGAAATGTCATGGAATCTGCACTTTCAGGTAACTACTGGAAAACTTTGACCCAGGCCAAAAAGAAAGGATCTCCTTTGCTAATCAATGTGCAACTGATTGTTGCAGATTAAATGTTTCTCTCCACTATCACTAGAGGAATATTTTTAAGTCTTAGTCTGCGTAATTTTGTTGCTTGCTGACACAACGCAGTCAGTTCTGTGTTGTAAGTTTGAATTTCCTCTAAGGACTTTGTGTTTGTGTGCAGGGTGAACAACTGCGTTGGCTTCTCTAACTACAAGTTCTTCATCCTCTTCCTGGCCTACTCACTGGTATACTGTTTGTTCATCGCTGCCACGGTTCTGCAGTACTTCATAAAGTTCTGGACTGTGAGTACTTGATGCTCTGTGTGTGTGTGATTCCTGATCCTGATGAGTGTTTCTTTACATCAGGCATCCCCAAAATCGAACCTCAAGGGCCGCTGTCCTGCAGGTTTTAGAGGTTTTCCAGCTCCAGCACAGCTGATTTACATTGATAGTTGATTAACAGGCTTTTGCTGAACTGCAGTCATCAGAATCAGGTGTGCTAAAGCAGAGAAACCTCCAAAACTTGCGAGACCGCGGCCCTTGAGGACCGACTTTGGGGATGCCTGCTTTAGATAGTTGTGCTGACCTCTCCTTTGGTGCCTCTCTGGTTTCAGTGTTGCTGACCCCAGACCTCTCTCTCTTCAATTGTCTGTTATCTTGCCCTACCTGGAGTCATTGGGCCTCAAGCAAGAACCATTCATATGAGCAAATTCGTTCTGATCTCGTTCTTACGAGTGATTTGGAAGAAAATGCTGCATTCCCAATTTTTCCCCTATTTTCTCTCATATGAACATATTTGATGAGTGCTCCAGACTTGACATAGGAGCAGGTCAGCTGTCCAAATCTAGTTTTTCACTAAATGACTACATTTGTTTTTCTTAGCCATTTTATTAGCCTGCTTCACTATATATTATGCGATTATGAATTAAAAACGTATGAGTGGGTCAATACTTGCAGCTGACGTGTCAGTCTCCAGGGAACACTGGTTTAATTTCTTATCATTTTGTCAATAGAAAGAATAGTCAGAGATCAAACTACTATTGAAATAACACCTGGAACAGAAAATTGATGGAAAGTTCAGCAAAACTCCAATTTCACTCCCTGGCAGCTCATTGGCTTTGTTATTACACCAACTGTGAAATATTTGGGTTTGGGTCTGTCTGACGGGTCTGTCTGTTAAATTAGAGGTTAAAAGTTAACATTGATATGTTTATGCGTTGTAAGAGAGATGGAGAGTACAATGAAGGGCGATCTGGAGATGTGCAGTACAGGTGTGTGTGTGTATTAAAAGCAGATTTAGCAGAACATCGTCACGTTAGTTGATCTTGAACTCATATTAAGTATTGACTTTGTCTGTTGCACCCGTTGCCGCCATCAGTAGTTTTTATTGACTGTTTTGGTATCAAATGATTTTTCTTTTTATAAATATATAGAATTTCTATTTTATTTTTATTTTTGTAATAGAGCACCCATGGTATCTACAGCTTTTATGATTGATCCCCCACTGCTTGGCAGTTTAATGTTCCTTTAATTCTGCTGCTCAGCTCTCAGTCAGACCTCGATCCTCGAACCTTTAAAGTTTTGCTTCTTTGTCGTTGGTGCCTTTTCACAGTGAGAATTTGGCGTGGGAATTTGTAGCATTGTATGGAATAATCAGCGGTAATTGTGCAGATTTTTATTTCTCTGGTACACGCTCTTACCTATGCTCAGGTGGAGCGCAGCAGGATTATTTCTAGGGCTGCAACAACGAATCGATAAAATCGATAAAAATCGACTTTTAAAAGCGTTGGCAACGAATTTAATCGTCGATTAGTTGTGTCGCGCGATTAATGCGTCATCCGCCGCCGCCGTCATCCCGGGGAAGAAAAAAAAATATGGCGGAGCGAGTCAGCGCCGCAGTTGCAGTGTTGCCAACTCAGCGACTTTTCAGACCCCTCCAGCGACTATTTTTTTTAAAAAGCGACTAGCGACAAATCTGGCGACTTTTTACGGTGTCACTGGCGGCTTTTGGAGACTCTTACGTGAAAGCATGTATCGTTCCTACTCTTGTCCTCCAGCGGCAGCTGCTGCCGTGGGGCGCCTCCCCCATCCCAACGCCTTTCTCCCTCTCCCACAAGAATCCCTCTCAGCGCTGCAGTCCGAGCCGCAGGATTTTAGTGAGGAGTTTAACCTCAGCGTCCAGACTGCAAATGAAGCGCGCATGCCCCGGGATTGACGGCGCAAATTGATCACAATAATTAAAATAGCCTGCGCTTTGTAAAGTGAAAAAAGTCGTAACACGCGACTTTTGTAAAAACAAATAAACATGGCACGGAAGCACCACTGTTATGACGCAGCACCTGAAAAGAAAACATGTTGGAGCCTTCAATGGCAGTGAAGATAGCTGATCAGCAGGATGAGTAACCATGTTTGTTTCATTTTAAAGTGGGGAAACGTAAGTTAGTTTCTCAGGTAGCTCATCTGATGCTTTCCTTACCGTGTTAGTAGGTTACAGACAGTGATAAGGTTGGCTACTTATTTTACTTTTAATTTCATTTGAATTAGCTTAAGCAGCGTTTATATTTTCTTTATAAATAAATTAATTTGCAAATTATGAGGGCAAGGCTTTTAAAGTTTAAATCTTCTGGCAAAGATAAAGTAAAGAAGATCCTGCAATTTATGGAAGTAAAGCAGAATAAAATCCAGCAAGATCAGTAATATGTCAATTAAGTATATGCCACATTCCCATGTAAATATCTGTCTTTGGAGGATGTGTTTTTTAGCACCCCTAGTTCTCTCATTTTTATTCCAAATACAGTTTATAATTTGAATCACAGGGCTATTTTTATCTCTATGGTTCAGTATTTTCTCAAGTAGCAACTTTAACTGCTATACTTTCCTGTCTTAAAAGGCAGAACTCTTCTAGTCTAAAAAAACCTCATTTGTTGAAATGGGGGGGCCTATTGTTTGAACCCCTTAGGGGCTTTAAAAAACAAAAATGCCTGTCTCTTTTTGCGCTTTATGAAACAAAGTACCCTATATTTTGTGGATGTACAGCTACATTTCTCATGTAAGTTTGCGTAGTTTTAAAACAAACATTTATTTTTCATATTGCACCAGTACAGTTAATGAGAAACCTGTACTTGTGTGCTTGTTTGTTCTGTCTAAAATGTTTATTTTGGAATAAAGAGGTTAATATAAAAAAAATATTTTGTGTCCGATTCATCGATTAATCGAAAAAATAATCGGCCGATTCATCGATTTTCAAAATAATCGTTAGTTGCAGCCCTAATTATTTCCGATCATGTACTCAGGTTTTTGAGCATTTGTTAAACCGGACGCGTCGTGTTGATTAAAGTCCACGGTTGGAGAAAAAGTAGGTGAAATTTACGACAAGAATATAAAAATAATCCATGAGGCCCAGTGTTCTCTGATGTATTTCTCTTTTCCACTCCCTAAGATCAGGATCATCAGTCACATCTCTAAAGCAGCAGCAAATGCCTCCCCTCTCTGTTGTTTTCTCCTAGCTGCTCCTCTTGGATTACATCTTATCCATTTCTCAGTTGTCTCCATTCTTGGCACAGTTTATCCTCTTTTATCCAGCCTTCTCCCTCGTTTCCCGACTGTTTTCTCCTTTTTATCCTAACTGGTCTTGTTTCTGTTTATGCTAAAGCTTTGTCGTAGGAAATCGGCAGAGAACTGCCCAAAGGTAACCCAGCCGTCCTCTGATTCCTTGACTTTTGCCTGCCTTCGTGATGTTGCATGCAGTGACATGGTTCACCTCCTAGAGATTCTCTTCCTCTGATGTCACCTCTCTCCTTTCTGGATCACTCAGTAAATCTGTTGCTGACTGTTTCTCTCCCTCTTCTCGTGTCTCTTTCCATAGAACGAGCTGAATGACACGGGCCGGCCACAGGCCAAATTCCACGTCCTGTTTTTGTTTTTTGTGGCGGCCATGTTCTGCATCAGTATTCTGTCCCTGTTCAGCTACCATCTATGGCTTGTTGGAAAAAACAGGTCCACAATAGGTAACGCATACACACACTTTGAACAAACCTCTTTTATTTTATTTTGTGAAGGATCTAAAAAAAAGGTCAGTTTAGGAGAATGTTTGTTAATCGAAGTAACACCAAAGTAAAAAAGACATTACAGGGAAATACTGCGTATTTCCAGATTAAACACCACAGCAGTGATATATGTGCGGATAGGCTAATTTTTTAGAAGCGTATTGGCTCTTTGACTAACATCTGGGCCTCCTTGCGAGGGTTCTGTCCCGTGCTTCTGGAAAACCACTCATTACATAAAAAGTTGTCACAGCAACACTGAAACTGCACCGATATACTGAACTTTAAAGACCATAAAGAAATAGGATTAGACGTCTTTGAGTGTACTAAAAAAGTTCTGAAATGTATGAAAAAAGTTGATATTTGCAGAATTTATTTGTTATATATTTTTATTTCCTTATATTATTTATATATATATATATATATATATATATATATATATATATATATATATATATATATATATATCCAAAGGAAAGCATGGCTTATATGGATTTATGGGCCACACTGTCACCACTGTGGTTTTTGATCAAGTGTTGGATAAAAGGCCCTTCAATTCACAAACTTTTGGTATTTAAAGTTCCCGAAGTTCATAAATTGTATTCAGTTAGATAGACTCAGTCATTTACTATTCCTTTTATAGAAATAAAAGCAATACAAAGATTGATTGGTTTTTATCTCTCATAGTTGAAGTTTACCTATGATGAAAATTACAGACCTCATTTTTTTTAAGTAGGAGAATTTGCACAATCAGTAGCTGACTAAATACTTTTTGCCCCCACTGTAAAACTATCTTATTGACATGAGTGATAATAAAAGTAAATTCATTTTCTTTATGTGAGCATAAAATTACGAAAATAAAGTCATAAAATTACAAGAATAAAGTCACTACGAGAATAAAGTCATAAAGTTGTATTATTAGGACTTTATTTTCATGACATTGCGACTTTATTCTCATAATCTTATGACTTTGTTGTCGGAAAAAAAATAAAAACCTCTAGCCTGGTGAGTTGATCTCTCTGGTACTAGTTGTATGATGACCCAGTATTTTATTAATTTATGGCCTCTCTTGTCCCTACAGAGGCATTCCGAGCACCGGTCTTTAGAACAGGCTCTGATAAGAATGGTTTTTCTCTTGGTTTCCGGAAGAACATCGCTCAGGTCTTCGGTGACCAGAAGAAGTACTGGCTGCTGCCAGTCTTCACCAGGTAATAGAGGCATGCATTTTTTTGGAGACCGAAGATGGTGTGAGCCAACAGTTTTTTTTCTGAATAGACAAAGCATTTGGCTGTGTAATGGGACAAATGTTTCTTTGCTGGAATCCACTCCATGTAGAGTTTGTAATTGCATTTATTAATCTTACATTTTGTCCTTGTTTTCTCCAGTCAGGGGGACGGTCTTACCTTTCCCACCCGGCTGGTTAATGCTGATGCAGAGCAGGCCACTGTTACTCTGCATCCTGATGCCAATAAATGGTGATTTTTTTTTTTATCTATTTTTTTATGGATAGAAAGCCTCGGTTTTTCTCAGGTCTGACTGCTTTTTTTCCCCTCTTGTAGCATGCAGGACGTCTCTGTGAGCCCCCTCAGTGAGTCACAGAACCGCCTTCTCAGCAGCGAGCAGCACGCCAACAATACTGAAAACCACCTGGCTGATAACCCCCTCAAATCAGGTCTGACCTAGAGGGAATGAAAAATTGGCCGTTTCTCAATATGTGTACTTGTGCGTTCTCATGTGCTTGTGAAATGTCATCAGCCTCAGTCCTAGCACTGTTCCAATTCACAAAAACACAAGACCGAGTACGGACAGAGTCCCCGGATGTTGTTCTTACCCCTCCCTCTTTACCGAGCATGCATCAGAGCAGAATTGTCCGTTCTCAAGATTGACAGCTGTCCCAGCATGCACTGCGGCAGCAGCAGCTTCGAGTGGAGCGCTCACAGAGCTCAGAGTATTAAATTAAAAGTTCGCTTTTCTGTTGCCATTGTTCTACAAAAGCACTTTTTAAGATCATTTGAGACGAAAAAATTTACTGATTTAGTCTGTAATTAAAAAATAAAAAAAAGTTTAGAAGTTGAGAGGACCATGGCAACCAGCGGACCTCCGAGGGTAACCGCAGCCAGGGCTAACGTTAGCCAGTCTGCAGCAGCTTACGTTCTCACAAAGTCCGTACTTTCCTGTGTTCTTCTCAAGAACATAAGTGGCAATTACACAAGTCCGTACTCGCGTTCTTGTGAATTGAGAAACGGTAATTTATTCATTTAGATTTTAGGAGTCATTTTCCTTATTGTGTTCCCTTTGACTTCACAGCTGCAAGTGAAACCATTACAGTCTCCATGGAGAGTGAGTCCTAACCAGGTAAACAAAGCCCACCACCTCCTCTTACCATTATATTTTCTCTCAATTAACTTGTTAACAGTGTAGATCAGAGATTTAAATGCAACATGAATCTCATCATTATTTTGGGCTTTTAATGAGTTATTAGAACCATTGTGTTTTAAGGACTGGTTAATGACTAGTTTAAATTTATTGTGAATATTCTCTCATCCCCACAGGGTCAAAGTTATTTATACAGACTCTAATATTTAGAATAGAAACATTTAGAATAAGAATATTTGTGTTGAATAATATTTTCTTGTTTGATTTTGATATTTAGCTTATTTTGGAGCTCCTTTAAATTGGTTGTTTTAAAACCAGGTTGTTCCAAAACTCCCACGGTTATCCCCATTTATCGGTGTGTTTGAGATCTTTGTCCTGTTGGAGCTGTGGATTGTTTCCAGTTTGTAATTAAAGTAAAGCGGGGGAATTTGTGTTCCGCCTTGGATTTCATTATTCTGTCCAATACTGCTGCAAGCAAAACAAACCCCCATCATAATAGTGCCACTGCGCTGCTTGACAGATGGTACATTTTTTAAGGGTGAACTCCTCTGTCTTGTTTTTAGTCTAAACTACAAAACTTGGTCTTTGTCACCTCTGAACATGAAACTATTATGCAGCAGAACGTCTTACATGCCTTTGCATTTTTGTATTTTTAAGCTTTTCGGTTTAGCAGCATCTTTCTCGTTCTAATCCCTGCCGCTTTGTGGGGAAGTTAAACTGGCTTCATTGTGGATGGTGACGCTGCTTTCCAGCTGTTTCTCCATTGTACCTGTTTGGGCCTATTCTGGGTAAATGTTCTGCTTCCTTAACAAATTACCTTTGATATGAGGACGACTTTTTGGGTCAGATGATTGAAACCAGGATTGATTTTTGCAGAACAAGACAGTAACCATAAACACACATCGGAACTGGATGTGGGATGTCTTTAGGCTTTTAGAATAGTCCAACCCTTTACTAGGATTAAAATCCATGGATAACTAATTTAAATGAGCTCTAACAGGGAGAGGGACGAATAAAAAGCCAGAATTGGCAGAATCCTATGTCAAGTAGAGAGAATCCATAATTTTAACTCTATGCATCATGGGAGATTAGTAGTTTCACCATTAAGAGCCCAAAGTTACTGACATTTATTTCCTTAATTTCATGTATTTTCATTCTCACTAGTATTCAGGAAAAGTTTGTATTTATTACAGCTAAATAAGAACCTACTTTTTAAACTGTTCTGTCTCTTCTCGGCCACAGGAAAAACACCTCAGTCATCTAAATGTGATGCCTTAAAAAAACACCAAACAGTTTAGTTCATCACCATGGCAACACCTCCCAAACCCATCCAGATAAAACTTTTGGAAAAGCAGTTCGCTGGCACATGGCAGCACAGTAACGCTTTAATATCTTTGGCATATTTTGCATGAAGTGTCGGACGGACGTCTCACTTTCACCATCCGTATGAAACACGCTTTCCTGTCACACTTAGCTGTGATACATTATTTTTCTATTTTGTTCCCACAACTTCAAGAAGAAGCTCTGCAGGACTCTTTATTGTATTGTTTTTTTTTTTTGTGCCAATAGCCTCCATGGTGCACCAAGGCTGGTTTTATAGGTGCCAAGTTGCTGTTAAAAAGTTTTTTACCATCTTTTCTTTCTGCTGTTGTTGAACCAACACATAGAGTGGAGATGGAGCCTTGCTTTCCATTCTGTACATCTCATTTCTACGACATTGATCAAGCTGGAGCGAATTAATTGTTTGCACCTTTTTGTGATGGATGTTTCCTCCACCAAAAACCTGGATTGTTGCAGAGGGCCTCTACTCCACGGCTCAGTGGACTGTGCCTGTCCTCAGCAGACTGAAACTGCACTCGGGGCGTAGAGACGATATTTGAGCACAAGATGGCGCATTTGCACTTTTTCAATTCTGTTTTCTTTTTTTTTTTTATTATAGTTTTATCATATCCAAACGATATCCACAGTGTGACAGATGATAGTCGTGTTTATGTTTGTTACAGCAGACATGACATTCAACAAAAACCTTCAAGGGGTTTTGTGGCTAGCTGGTGTTGAATTTAGCTGCTTTAAAAGAAATTGGAAGTTGATTCACTCGGTGCACTCTGCTCGTGTTTTGGTGGACATCCACCCTTTAAAGCTTCAAACTTTACCACCACATCCATTGCCAAATAAGGGCTGACATGTCAGGAGCTCTGGCATCTGAACCTGAAGTGTTTACAGCATCCTAGCTTTATCCTGCAGGCCAGTGTCATCAAATCACCAGAACTGGATGTTGCTGTGGCAATAAAAAAAAATAAAAATACTTTGTAATGTGTTTACTATTATCAGACAGCAGGTGGCGACAATCTGCTTCTTTTTTATGAGTATTAAGATGGATACAGTTGAAACCAGATGTTTACATACTAATTAAAGATAACGTTAATAAATCAGACCAGAAATCCTGTTTTAGGTAAAATAAGTTCTGTTAAAAGGTTTTAGACAGCCTTCCCCAAACAATAGTTTGTCTATAAAAAACTTTATATAAGGTAGACCTATCTGAGCACAAGCTTTGTCTTCTAGACTTCAGTTTTTAACATATTTTCCATTTGTTATTTTTATCATTTTGTGAAGAACAGTCTGTAGCAAAAATATCCAACCATCATGATACCACCACCCCCCTACTTCACTGTAGGGATGAAGCTGATCCTGGATAGCTGTCTCCTATTTTTTCTTCCTGTTTAATGATCGTAATTATGGACAAACACTTGAATCATTTTTAAATGTCTTTGTGCCTGAGCTTTTATTCAGCTCTTTATTCTAGGCTTTTCATTCTGCCCTCAATGTGGGTCATTTAAAAATATGAGCAAAGTAATAATGAGCTACATTAAATGTATCTTAAATTATTGATGCATATAGTAAATAGAAATTATTTGTCTGATCTGACCTCAAGCATATGATGTCACATAGAAAGATTGTATGTTTTTTTTAGTTTTTTTTTTTATGCTGTATATAAATATCTGGTTTTAAATGTAATCATCTGTTCTGAGGTCAGTTTGCTTTCTGTTACTGCCTTTTTTTTTTCTTTGGTTATTTTATATTACCTGAATGTTAACCTTTTTATAAATCGCTTTACTGTGATAAACTATTTGGATCTGAGTCAACTACAGCTGATGCTCAAATTGTCTCAGTTTATAGAACTGCTTGAGCGACCCTGAGCTTATTAGAGACTGTTTAGAGCGTGCTTAAAATGTTATACATCGGCTTTCTGCAGCCCAGGCTGACCCAGAATCTGTAGAAAGCTGTTAGCAAGATGACGCCCCTCTTCACTGAACGCATCCCACCAAAACACTCGGGTGTTGATGTTTACAGCCTGTTCACATTGAGCTTTGTGGGGTTTATTTTTGTGAGATTTTCCCAAAAAATTCTTACTTAGGGGCCTGTCTTTGCGGGCGGGCTTATTGTTATGCTTTCAAAACCAGTGAACGGGTGGGCTTTGTTAAAACTTTTACGCTGTGGTTAGATTTCAAAAGTCCTAGACTTTAAGTTACTTAATGGGTTTATGGTCCAAGCCAAGGTTCTGTTCTAATCATGTAAAGCTCATATTTGACCATTTAGAGGTTTTAGGATGTGTAATGTCATTCTTTAAAGCAAAAAAAAAAAAAATAAAATTGCAGCCACCGTCTGAGACATCGGACCTATTGTGTTGTTTTACAGTTCCCTGTATCCTCTGCAAAGAGTGTCAAGGTGTGTGTATTTTGTAGTGCTCCATTGAGTGTCTTCTTTTTTTGTAAAAACTTCTTGTATCGAGAGGAACGCTGAAAAGAGATTCTGCTCAAAGCATGACGCCTAACCTCTGTAAGAGGGGGAAAAAGTGTTTTACTATAAAACCTGGGAGGGGGGGTTGTGGTGTGGGTTGAGATATTCCTTTTTTTAATAATTTTTTGCAAGTTCTGTTTTCAATTAGCTTTACTCTTGTCTGTATAAACTGATTAAATGAAGCCATAAAAACTCCTGTGAAAACAAGAAGGATCTGATGACTTTGGTTATCTGTAGATTGATCCCATGCTACATCTGGCCGCAAAGTGCAGGTTGTAGCCTATCATAACAGCTGATATCTCCTTTTTTTATATATATATTGCGTCCTGTATTAAAGTATGTGTGTATGTATATTATGTAAGTAAACAAAAAAAAACTTCATATATTTTTCTTGTCTGTTTACTTTTACTGTTCCTACTTTGTGAATGAGTACATGCTTCTTAATTAACTGGGAATATAACAATAAATGTCTTTTTATAGTAAAAAAAAAAAAAAAAAGGATCAAACTTTGTGTTTAATTTTCCTGCAGTATTAGAGATGTTTAGCTTCAGCAAGATACTATCTTGGAGATTAATGCCTGTTTAATTACAAGGTTTCGGTTTACCCAGCCTGTATGCAGAAACCAGCACAAGCAGGTCAGAACATGCATGTGGAGTTAAGCAAAGATTATTTATGCCCGTAATTGCATTTAAAAAGTAAAACACAGTAAAAACCAATTGGTGTTTATTGATAAATCTGTTGAAAATGATTTGGGTTTTGAAATATGTCACAATCATGGGGAAATATGCTGTGTCTGCCAACAGATGGGGAGGAGATTCAAGGTGGAGAAAGAGCCTTGACTGGACTGTGAAGCAAAATGCTTTTATAATTTTAGAGAGATTGAAAAGGTGTGAACTACAGCTTCTGCATCTTGTGTCCTGCCACCCATGAACATATCAAAAAGAATCTTACCCGAGATAAAGCAGAACAGAAACCAGCCTAAAGCCCTAATTTCTGATGTAAATGACTCAGTTTAATGTCTTCTGTATTTCTGCACGGGATTGTCTCATCATAACAGCCCCAAAGCAATCTACAGTCTTGTCTAAACAGATGACTCTTCATCTGTTCCATAGACTGCTGCTTTTAACCTGTTCTAGCTTGCAACTCTCAATCTTTTACAAGCTCACTGCTCATATGATGGCTGCTGGTTCTACAATTAAGTTGATTTTGATCTTCACATTCAATCCACTGCTTGATGACATATTTAATAGACGGATAAAACTCAAGAAAAAGAATTTTTGAAGTTGCTTTAATTAGAACGACAGAGGCATGGGGTTATGTGCCCAGAGGTGGGCAGAGTACCCAAATATTCTTCTCAAGTATAACTATCATGACTCCATTATACTTTACTTGAGTAATAGTAAAAAGTAGCCTTTGAGAAAATTACTTAAGGATGATAAAAATGCATTTGGTAGAAGAAAACTACTGAGTAACTGATCTACTTACTACCCATAATCATAATAACTGATTTAATATTTTACCCAATCATGTAAAATTTAACAAAACATTTTGATATGAAAATTAAACCTGGAGAGACTCGCAATAAAAATAGTTGCAAGTAGAAAATGTCAAATTTAGTTATACAGGTAACACAATCATATTCTTCAAAATATTTCTAAGGAAGACCTGCTGATTACGAGGACTCCTTGACTCTCTGCAATCCCTTGCACTAAGCATGCTTGTAGCGACAGGGGAGAGAAAAACTCCCTTTTAACAGGAAGAAACCTCCAGCAGAACCAGGCTCAGCGTGAGCGGCCATCTGCCGAGGCTGACTGGAGTTCAAGGAGACAGAAGCAGATGTAGACATAAACAAAATAAGTTATTTGGTGCTCGAGCCCCGGCAGAATGCTTGAATGAGTAACCTAGGGAAAGGATTAGAGAAGTCTTGCCCTGGGGCCCGGACACTGGTGGTGGAATAAACCAGAGGATGAGAGGGTCTGAGAATGAGGGAGGGTGAAGGTGAGTGAAAGTTCGCTTGCGTGCAGGAGACAGAAGCTCAGCCAGGAGTTTAATGAAGGGAATCTTGCAAGACGATTGGCTTCAGAGAAGGGTGGCCCCCCAGAATTGATTGGCTGGAGCTGAACGAGGGACATCGCAGGAGGTTCAGGTGAAGCTGATAAGAATCTTCCAAGTTGCATCTATGCTTAAATGAGAACACCATTTTTTTTTTACATTGGGCCCTTGATTTTACATTATTACATCATGTTCTACTCACCCATATTAGTTTTGTGTCATTTGGAGCTGTTCTGAAGATATTGGATTAGGTTTTATCCAAGTAACATCTTCCTTTGGACAACGAGTTGAAGGCACAAACTAAACTGTTTAGAATTTATTTGTTATGGTAGGCCAGCATTCATAACATGTAGGCGAATCACTGTCCCCCAGACATCCGTGTAAAATCAAGGGCCCAATGTAAAAAAAAGAAAGGTTTTCCCCTTTAAGCTTAATTTCTGTGTTTCAAATAATAAGAAATAGATGTATGACTTACAGTAATTACGCAATAAAAGTTTTAGGTGGAAATAATCTTCAAAATAAATTTTTTTATTTATGCAACTTATATAAAATCAATATATACAGCATTTAAAAATGCATTAAATTACAATATAGTGTTTACTGTATTTTCACTCTATCTCCAGCAGAATAAGGTTATAGAGTAGCCACAAATTTGACTGAAGTAACGTTTAACAGAAGTGATGTTTTATCCTATTTTTACTCAATTAAAATGTAAAAAGTACTCCTAAAACTACCTTTTCCTCTCAAAAGGGTACTAAGGTAAATGTAAATAAAATAAGTAAATGTAAATAATTATTACCCACTTCTGGATATGCCTACAGTAATATACCACCACCTTTGATTTTTGTAAACTAATTAACATCTCAATTTTCCACCCTAAAAACTCTAACAACACAGGGAAACGGTTTTGGAAACTTTAAAATAAACATATGATACACAATTTTTGTTTAACATTTTGTTCAATCCTACTGTTAATGTATATAAAAAAAATAATATAATCTGTTATTACATATCACTAAAACTAGTGTTTCACATCATGGATTTTAAGCCTGTTTTGGTAATTTGGCCTCCAGTGAATAATAATACAGATGCCGATATGTATCCCAGTGGATATGCTTTGCATCATGATAATGCACTGCGCAGCATTACACAGACCTTCGAGATGGATGCAACTTTTGTCTTCTGTTGTTACAGTTTTGAGATCTCTTTGGGATTTTCCAACATATTTGAGAATATGTGAACATTTTATAATTTAGATTACACAACTGATGCAACATCCTTTTAGGACAGGGCTTCAATTAGGAGATTTAAAGCCGTCTGTAAAACACCTGTACAGGGCATCTTCATATATTGAATAAACAGGAACACATGGACATGCCACACATTTCACTTAATTACATTATAAACAACTTTGTATTGGTTTAGCCATTGAAATCTCAATGTCAACCTTCAATGGGCTTAAATAAGTTTGCACATTTTAATAGGAAATAAAAAGAGATTATGTGAAGCTCACTTTGAAGGTGAAAGCATTGTTTTCCCCCCAAATATTCATTTCTCAAAGAAGCAATGCTACCTTTAATTTAAAAAATGCCACATTACACATGTAGATTTGAATGAGTGCAGCGTTGACACCTCAGTTTTCCTGGAAGCAGTTGGTTTCCTCCATGCAAGCTGCAGTCTGCAACATGAGATTAGATCATCACATTAGCACAGGATGCGGCGATAAAGTGTGGCAAAAACCATGCCAAGACCGCAAGTACCCAGTGTTAACAGACAAGAAGTTAAATCAAAGTCAGAGCTGCGTAAATGACTTAGATGAATTAAGTATGCTGTAATTATCTCACATCGTTTTTAATGTGATGTAGTAAAAACAGGGAGATTTGGTGGGTAGCCTTGTTCTGTCAGCAGGCGACACTGATTAGGGACAGTAAACACAACTCTGGTTCCAACTCCGTCAACATTCAGTGCACTCAAAATCACGGAGCCAGTTGATCATTGACCTCTTCTATCTGAGTGGCACCCAGGCCCTTGACACCCACCGCAGAGAGACGCCACTGCCGACCGCCCTCTCTTACCAACACGCCACCCATCCTACTTTTGATTCAAATGCATATATCTGAAGAGAAATAGCTGCAAACGAAGCAGGGAATTATGGGTCGAAACGGCAGAAATGTACATCTGTTCTGCAGGGCTCATTGTTTGAAAGTTCCCAACAGCAGGATTTTATCCTCGATGATGATGACTGTAAACACCTACTGCACTTAACTGTTGTCGCACAGAGAGAACTAAAACAAAAAGACAAAAATTGTTCTGTGTTTGTAAAAGAAAAACAAGAACCACAACTAAACAAAGTGCACTATTTTGTATTCTACCTACTTGTGCCTCTGTTTGCTACAGACCTCACAAGGTAATGAACTCTAGGTCAGTTTTACAGTTCGACACTGAACCGATTTGCTAAAGAAGGAAAAAAAAGAGCTAAACCTAAAGTGGCCTCAGTATCTTTACATTGGTTATCCATTATAGGAAATGCTATTAAACAGTGATCCTGGAAAGGCTTTTAGATTCCCTGTAGGAACGACTGGCAGCATTCCAGTAATCTATGCAATACTCTCTGGAGCTTTGCTTCTGATTTTGTTCTTGACACAATGAACTACAAAAAAGGAATATCTGGCATCCAGATGTGAATGCAGCTTTGTGAAAGAACTGACCGTATCAGATATTTCTAAACACAAGGCCTCTAACACAATAACTTCAGAATTGCAAATCAGACCCAGGAGCCTCAGCTTTGTTAGAGAAGAGTCTTGGAACTCCTCTTCTTAATGTTCTCTCATTTCAGACCAGTCCAGACTAATTATTTTAAATACCTTACAAATATGAGATTGAGAACAAGGTGTGTGTCAAGAAATCCTACTCAGTAGCGGGGTTGTGAAACTCTTCTCCATCAAATGTATAAAACTTTGTAAAAGAAAAGTATTATGTCACGTGCTGAGATTCGCCCTCACTTGTCAAAAACTTGTCTGTTTTTGTGCTGGCTAAGCATGTCCCTGGGATGAGCCTGACAGCTCAAGGATAATGGAAGTTTTTCTTGAACAAATAGGCAAGTCTTATAAACAAGCAAAAAAAAAAAAAAAAAAAAGATATTTAATACAGGGGGCTGAGACTGTGTTCCAACGCTTTAGACTTTGAAAGTTCAAGTTGAAACTTGCAAAAGTTTCTGTATATCCTGGTTCATTTCAATGTATTTTAATTAGATTGTATGTGAGACACCAACCCTGCATAATGCATGTTTTAAAAAATCTCAGAAGAGTTTCATGGATTCATATTTAACTCCTTACCAAGATACCCCAAAATACAACCGAGTGCAACCAATTCCCTTCAGAAGCCACGCAAAACAGTAAATACACACACACACACAAAAAACACCACCTATGCATATTTTGTTTGGTAGAAAACATTGGCGGGCAAATGGCATCAGAAAATGATGTTTGAACCAGGAATAGGTGGTTAGAGATGCAACGAAACAAAATGTGAAACAGTCTGACGGATGTGCAAACTCTTGCAAGGCACTGAAACATACATGTTTTTGAAATGGAGGAGGAAGCCAGAATACCCGGGGAAAACCCATACCCATCATGCATGCAGAGAACAGAACCATGATGCCTCTGGAAGAGCAGCAGAAACCCACTGCTCAGGTGGGAGAATCCAAGTACTCGTCAACCATTAGTCATGGGTTCTGCTAATATGGTGTTTATTGAGTATGAAGGGGAAACAGAAACTATCTTGAAAAAAAGTCTCTTTAGTAATTCCCCACAAACCATGTAGGAGGCTGAGTAAACATGTGGAACAAGGCACTCTTCACATGAGACCAAAATAAATGTAAACTAATACTACACATCAGACCCACCACATTCCTCCTGTGAAGCACAGTGTTGGCAGAGTCATGCTGTGGGGAGCTATAGGAGGAGTTCATTTGAAAAGACACAGAGCTAAACTCATCTAATTTTCCTGCCAGAACCTGAAAAAGACTTCAGACTGAAGATAGCATACAGCTTTAGTGCTACCATAGAACGGGTTCATTGAAATAGTTTCTTTTCTATTATGGTGAGTAGCTCAGTTGTATATGTTACCTCTCTCCTTCCTGCAGCTATGTGTTTGCCTGCCTCAACACGCAGAGATAATTCTTTTGTACAGCTGTACTCATCCCATCAGCTGAGCAGTATTAAGACCTGAGAAGATGCCCTGCAAAACTTAAAAGTACTTCAGATCGCGCTCTGTATACTAGGAAAGGCTTGTAAAACTATATCCCTGTCCATCTGACTCAAGTTTGTTTAATGAAGTTTCCAATAATCACCTGGATAACTCTTTATAGGACTCCCTCCTTTCCAGTCTTTCTAAGTGAGCTGAATGGATGCTGAGCTTTTTCAGATTTTCAAAACAATTTATCTTTTCCCTTCAGCAATTTGGCATTACTTTATATTTTCTTTCCACATAAGAACTCAAAGTAGCTGCAGAAAGGATGTGGCAGGATCTGACTCAGTCTGATGGGTATGAGTTGGTAGCCTAGAGGTAGTCACAATGTCTGATTGCAAGTTTTTGCAGGCTGATTTCTTAGGCAATGTTTTTGAATGGTTCACGAGAAGCTTGGAATACCAGAGAGAGTATATCTGCAGCAGGCCTAAGCGAGCAATGTGCTTGTAAACGTTGCCATGGGAACCGACGTGCAAGGTGTGTTTTCTTCACGGGCTCTAATGAAACTAACAAAAACAGGAACAAAACCCCCATTTGTCTGAACGGCAGCAGCTTTCAAGCAGCCGATGTATCTCCAGGACACCGTTAGAAATACCTTGTTAGAACACAGTAGCAAAACGTTTGTGGGTTAAGTGGTTCTATGAGGTATGACGCTATCAAAATAAACGTGTAATTAAAAACACTTGTGTGTGTGGCGTAATGACACAACAATGGCGTAATGACACAACAACAGGCCCGTAAGCAACATCACCTGGGTGTGCCCCATATGAAGAACAACACTCTGGATTACCCATAATTCCAAGCTGTAGTGTAAAAAATTAAATACTCAAATAAACCGTTCTTTTAACATCTTTATTGCGGTTTGAAACATATTATATGAGCGTATTTTTTACCAACCATCTAATGAACTATACACAGTTATTAACATCGTAATTAAAAGTACCGCTGTCTGCTTTGCAATTGGTGTTGTGTTTAGTTGGCTCACCATCCTGTTGGACTCTGGTATGTCTTGGGGTCTAAATACGGTCCAGTTGGAACAAACTTTTGCGTCATTAAATCAGGGCTGCGCAGTGGTAGCACTGCTGCCTTGCAGCAAGAAGGTTCTGGGTTCGATTCCCCCGCCCGGGATCTTTCTTCCCTGGAGTTTGCATGTTGTCCCTGAGCATGCAAACCCCTGGAGTACCATCCGGGTGTACCCACTGGGAGTACCCTCCGGGAGTAACCTCCGGGTACATGAATAGAGTACCCTCCGGGAGTACCCTCTGGGTACTCCAGCTTCCTCCCACAGTCCAAAAACATGACTGTTAGGTTAATTGGCTTCTCTACAGTCCCCTTAGGTGTGAGTGTGTTCATGAATGGTTGTTTGTCCTGTTTGTCTCTGTGTTGTCCTGCGATGGACTGGCGACCTGTCCATGGTGTACCCCGCCTGTAAGAAAGCATGTAAGAAAATGGATGGATGGAAAATGGTTGGATGGACGTCTGCAATCATACGTCCTAATCCGCATTTGGGGGCTATCATAGGGAGCCTACCTATATGTCAATGACGGGGCCCCTAAGAGCTCGGGGGTCCATAAGCAATTCATTCTCTGCTTACATATATATATATATATGTATACCATTGTGTGTATTCCTCATAAATAATTAGAACTAATACTAGGTTAGTTAGGTTTATTGCAAAAATATGTAAAACTGACTAGTTTTGACTATTTTAGTATGCATAAATCAAGAAAACAATAAAAGTACATCAGTGACCTAAAACTAAAAATGTATTTGGCTTAAATTAGCCGACAAATCCCGTCAGCCCTGTCACCATCCTCTGAGAGAGAGGGCTGGAGGCGGGTCCAACCATCGCAGTTAAGTCTCCTTCTTTACTCTGGGAGCCAAAATCATTCCCGAGCAAAAACTTTCTGGACTTTAAAGCGCAGAAAAAAAGGCGCATCCACCAATTCCCAGAGCTGCGTGGATGTGTGCAGAGAGTCCGCTGGAAGTCGCTCATTTTAGGGGGAATCCAACCAGCCACCATCTAACATGAATAATGGATCCAATCGGACCGCTGACCAAGAAAACTGTCCCCCGGAACCTCCGTTTGCCATCGATGTCATCCGAGGTGAGTAGACTGGAGCTGGGTCTCGTGCCGAGCCCATCCAGCGGTCACTGTGTCCGCGGATGATCCACTGAATGTGGGGAAGAGGATCTGCACTTTACGCACCAGCAGGTTGCCCCATCCTCTGGAATTTATATTCATTTGGGCCAGTTTCTAAGCGACATCGGCTAAAGTGCTGTGGACAGGACCAGGGGAGACATAATTAAATTAAATTATATGTATATATCAGTTTGTATGTTTCAGAAAGTAAAATGGATCAGATCTAAAATATAGAAAAATGGATGAATCTCTTAATATGAAGGATATGAGCTCATTTATGGTTCACATAGAAGGGGATTGAGGTACTGATCACCCAAAGTAGCTTAATTAAGGGCTGTAACATTTATTTACTAAATAATTTATTGATTTAAGTATGGTTTCTTTATTGTTTTAGTTTTTTTTATTTATTTTTAGCAGAGTTGTTTTTTCTTTATTTTTCATTATCAGAAAAGGCTTTAAAATCATATCAACGGCTTTAAAATTATATCAATAAATTACTTGGTTAAAAAAAAGAAAAAAAAAGAAAAAAAAGATAAATACATTTTTATCCGGTTAAACCTAAAAGCAGGGATATTGAACACCACGATGGCAAGTTTCCTGCAACTTTTTTACATTTCTCTGTTTTGAACACACTTGGTTCTGATAGTTGTTGATCAGCAACAGGCTGTTGATCACCCATCAATTAAATTCAGGTGTGCAAAGCAGGAACACAGCTATAACATGCAGGAGATCTGCAATCCAGGGCTGGGGTTGAATACGCCTGCAATTGCTCTGCTTTTTGTCCCCTAAAGTTATGACTTCAGAACACAGTTTTGTTTGTTAATTTCAACAAACAATGTCTTGTTAAAAATCAAGACATTCAGCTCATGTTTTTTTTTTTTTCCCAACTGAAACTTTTAGCTAAATCCCACAAATGAGATTTAGATCCGAACTTTGGACTTATGTAGCATGAATCTGTATCAAATTAATAGATTTGTGGTTTATGAACAAAAAAAATCTTGTGTAATGTCTATATGGTTTTATTGGACCACATTATTTGGCAAATTGTACTGTAGTGATGTTTTGTAGCTAAGATCAAAGGTATTCCATGGATTATTGATAATCTTGAACTTTGTACTTTATTTTATTGTGATTATTACCGTCTTCGTCTCTTTTGGCATTTCATAATCAACTTCTTGTCAGTCTTTAGATTTGTGGTATTTGTCATTCAGGTTTCTGCTCTTTTAAGGTCCGTAGGTTGATTTAACCCCTATCTCTGTGTGTTCATTTCTTTATTAGCCTCCCTCTCTCACTCTATTGTTAAAGATAGGCTCTGTGTATGCACCCTGAGGCTCTATCTTTCCGGTTCTTTTCCCTGAAAAGAGATCACTCGGGATAAACTCTTTAAATAACACTTAATCAATTATATGTATTAAATAACCAAGAAACATGACAACAGATTTTGACAGAAATTTAATTGAAATTGCTTAGGCTTCTCACCTCTCAGGAAGTGGCCCCGATTAACAGTTAAAAAGGCATTTTATACATCTCCAGTCTGCCACATCACCATATTTAGCATTTAGCAGATGATTAGACATCCATGGCTCCAGCCTTATCAAAATAAGACACTGCTCTTGTTCCATTTCCAAATCTTTGCCACCTACAAAACAAAGATTATAACTGTATTCAGACAGAGGAAATGTCCTAATTCAATTTAAACATCAGTTCTGACACGCAGCAGGCAGCCCATACCAGGGTGTGATGAACTCACACATCTTCAATGAGAATTTTCCTAAGAGTATTATAGGTTCACTGTAAGCTGCAGCGCTTCCTTTTGATTTGACTCACCTGGTTCTTGTGTCACTGACAACCTTCCCAGTTTTCATCATTCCTCATCGGTTCCTTCTGTTTTCAAGGCCCTGCCATTTCTACCTTCTTCCTGCTTTACTTGATGTTTTGCTTCATGTCGTGCTTCCATCATCTTTCATAAATGTTCTGACTTTTCGCATAAGGCATCACTTTGAGTCTTGACTGTGTCCTGTCTGCATTTAGGTGTCCAGTTTCAAACTTAACTTACTTGATGCTAATACCTCTTTTTCGACGTCCATCATTCTAGCCCCACCCTCTAATTATTCATGGTTCACACCTGGCCACCCTCTGACGTCATTTCCTGGAGGAACGTCTGATGATATCTGAATAAGTCTGTGGTTTCTTGCTGCTACATCACTGACATATTGTGAATACATGACTGCATCCTTTGATTACTTCATTGTTCACTGATTATTTTTGGCTTCACAAAACCCCAAATATTTTTTGTCCTTAACTAAAAGCAGAACCGGTCATACTTTATACATGTACTGTATTCATCACTTCAGTGGCTGTGGGTTTTATATGAAGATTTTGCATATAAACTGTTTAATTTTTCATTTTATTTTGTGCAATTCACTGACCAAATTTGTACATATGGTATACAGTTTATGTGCTTATAGCCTACTTCCCTATTTTTATGATTTCTTGTCTGCTTTTTTCTCATTTGTCCTCATGTATTTCTTTAAACTCTGTGAGGCTATGGAAACATATTTTAATTCCTCTGTGGTTCTATTGACTGTAAGCTTAAGATTAGATAAATGAATTTAAAAAATTTGAAACCAAAAATGGTTTAATGTTATTTCTGTTTCCGTGTTTACAAAGTGATGTGATTGCAACTTAATATCTAAGGGTGTGACTGGATTACTGCTGTCTTTATATCATCCTTCAATGCTGCAATATTTTGTATCTACAGAAATAATTACCTTTTTAGGAAACTGTGCAGTACATCAGCACAGCCTAACCCAGCAATGACCAGACAAGAGAGAATCAGATTGCACTGCGAACAGGTTGTCAGTTATAAAGGGGGTCAGTACCTGAATGAACCATAGGGTGCAAGTCTTGCCGTTCCAGTTCTAGTCCTTTTGCGACTGCTTCTGCAATCCAAACATCTAGAAAAGAGGTCCAAGTTTGTGAGGATGTAATTACATGAAAGTCCCAGTTGAAAGTAGCTAAAGGTGAGATCTAAAATAATGGAACACAAATTATTGAATAAGCTGGGACTCACCCTAAGTGCGCTGAAAACCAAGCCTGATCTACGTATTATTTTTAGGTTACAGCAAGGGATGCCGCCTTCTGACTGGCTTCCCTTGCATAAAAGCAGTAGCACTGAGACTACTGTGGTGAGGTGCAATTTTTCATTGTTTCTGCTGTTTACTTTATTTGTCTTTGGTTTATTTAATTTGAATATTTAAGTTTAGTCAATCAAGTCCACCCTGAAATCTTTCTTTTTCTAACATTGTGATTATGCACCCCTCCACTAATTTTGCCCTGGAAAACTGCCCATATAGCCCATATCAAAAACTCTAGAGTAGAAAACCAATCACACTCACATCTCTGGGTTATTTTAGAATTGATTAGAACCTAAAAAGCCTCGCAAAAGTTTTTACAACCATTAAGTGACAATAAACCCACACATTTTATTTGATAGACCAACAAACTACAAAGCAGTACTTAGTCGTAACGTGAATTGAAAACTATGTGTTATCAATCATTATTTTTATATCAGATATTTGAAATGGGTGACATTAATTTGTATTCAGGCTCAACTACGGTGAATTTCAGTTGGAGAGAGATGTTAGTAGTAAAAAGGGAGGACCAAAAAAAACCTCAGGGAGGTCAGGGATAGAGCTAAAGCAGAGTTATTGTTGTGGGTGCAATGTGATGAAACCTTCAATAGTTCAAGTTGCGTAAAGAATCTGGCAATCCACTGTAACACGTATGAGTTTGTGCAGATGGAGGACGACGAAGTAGCGGGGAAAAGCCCATATATGCAGAGGGAAGCGGTCAAACTCCACTCTGGCTGTCCCAGCTAAGGGATGAACTGTGGACTTTCGTTCTTTGCGGCGCTACAACTCTGGATACAGTGAAGCCCCTTTTCAAATCTGCTCAAATCTGCATTAGTGAATTTTTTAATAAACAAAGTCAAATGGCCTGTAATTGAATTTAATCTTTTAACACCAATTATTATTATCCTTGAAGTTTCTCCAGCTGCAAACACAACATCTGTTAGATATTAGATTACATTACAGTAACAGAACATGCACTTTTAGTGAAGAGAAAATCGCTTCTTATTTTTAGATTTAGGAAATGGCTCAGAGAGATAAATCATAAAGATCAATCTTAAAGTTATGGAACAGTCAAAAGGGCATAACAGAATTTACAGAGAAACCTTAGCAAAACAGGAACACCTGTTTATAGGATTCGTTTCAGCCCGACTGGCTCTAATGAGTCCAAATTCCTGACGGTAAATGACTCGGGTTACAAGAATAGATTCAGCTAAAGCTACAGAGGTTCAGCTATTTACTGCCTTTCCTGCCATTCTTTGTTTCACATTTTCCTTTCTCGTGAAAGAAAACCTTGTTGGCGGCCTGATGGCGGCATCTACCTCCATCGTAATCACCCGTATCGTCATGTCATCGCCGTCATCATCATCATCATCAAACACATCCTGCCACTATCGACCCTTGGGGTTCTTCATTACTTTGGTTTTATTTGTTCATTTATGCTAGAAGATCTAACTGAAATAATCTCAGCTCTCATGTGTATTTCCTTTTTTTGTACACTTAAAAGTTTGTTTATTTAGTGGCTTAGGGGCATATGTGTTATTGCAACAAATTTTTCCTGATGTTACCTCTTAAACCTTTTATGGACTTGATGTACTTTTGGCTTTTAAGTAGTTTTTGTTTTATTGTTTTTTTTATCCAGCCTAAGAAGGTGAGGATGATCATGAGCAGTTTTGTGTTTTAACAGTCAGAAAAAATCCTTCTCATATTCTTATGTTTCCACCCATAAAAGCAGCCTCTTGAGCTTGAATCAAAGCTAAAAGCCCCAATTTCTTTCTCTAATTTTGCTTTCTGTTTCAGAATTGGACGTCTATGGTATCGTCTTATATGCCATCCTCACCTTCATGGCTACGGTTTCTATGCTGGTCTTCCTAGAGGAGTGTGTGTACATTTACAAGAAAGTGCCTCCTAAAAAGAAGAACTTAATCATCTGGGTGAATGGGGCAGCTCCGGTAAATACATACTTCAAAGTTTCTGCCAAAAGTATTCACACCCCTTTAAATTTGACACATTTTCGTGCATTACCTCAAATCTCTTTGCAAAGAAATTGCAGAATTCTGAAACGGAAAAAATTTACCTGGATTTCAAGATTCTGTGTAATAAACCAATAGAAAGTATTCAATTGTCTGTAATAATGGTGTAAAAAATTATCTATGGTTAAATCTTTATAAAAATGTCTTTTTGTTCTGTGTTTTGGAACAAAAGTGATCATATAAACCTCTAGAGTATAATCAGGGTTTTCGCGGGTCATTAAAAATCATTAAAAGTCATTAAATTATTATTTTTTTAAATAAGGCCTTAATTGGCTTTAAAATTCATTAAATGTGATTATCATGGCATTTAAAATGCTTCATAAAAAAAAAAAAAAAATTACTGTAAGTCAGATATATTACATCGCAATATATTTGTGCGGAAATGCTTCTGGTTGATCGTAAAGCCATATGTTTGGAAAAGTAGAAGAAGAGAATGGGGAAAGGGACATTGCTGCAACCAATCGACAGTAAAGATGACAATGGATTTTGCCGTTTTATATGTATATATATATATAATTTTAATTGCCATATATTGATGGCATTAAAATTATTTCATTTTTATTTCATTTCAAGCATTAAAAAGCAATAAATTAGTTACTAATTTCTGTATTAAACCCTGATTTTTTTTTTTGCCACCTTTACTATTATACCCCTAAATAAAGTCCTGAAAAATGTGATGCTGCCTAACTTTTAAAACATTTTGCCTGCGTGTGAAATCAGTAAACATGATTATATTACCACAGGAGCATTGAGGTGGTTGTATAATGCTGTGTGAATACTTTCTTTTTTTTCAGCAGGAGCAGGGCTTGAATTTAACAGTTTTGGAAAACTTTAGATTAGTCCAATAATATAGTAATAATATATGTAAAATTCAACTGATAAATTAACCATATGTTTTGGGATGTGAGTAAAGGTTTTTGCCTCCTCATAAACATTGTTAAAAATGTCCTTCCCCTCGGCTTTGACAGGTTATCGCCAGCATGTCCTGCATGGGAATGTGGATCCCAAGAGCCGTGATTGTTACAGATCTGACCTCAGCCACGTAGGTTTTTTTTTTTTTTTTTTTTATCTTTTTGTTCTTCTCCCCTAGTCTTTTCATCACCTTCCTCTCTTTGTGCGTTCTATATGCCGTGCCCTTATATATTTGCTGGGGGATGAAAGGGGAAAATTAAACCTCATAATTCCTTGGAAGTCTTTATAGAAAACAGCAGCGTGGTTGAGCAACAGGCTTTCCCTTTCTTGTAGTTTTTTTTCTTTCCTCTAATTAACATCCTCTGTTGCTCTTCTATCCCACTAGCTATTTTGCCATGGTGGTGTTTAAGTTCCTGATTATGATGCTGGAGGAGATTGGAGGGGATGAGGCTTTCGTGAAGCGAGGAGAGAAACGCAAACTGAAGATCAGCACGGGGCCTTGCTGCTGTTGCTGCCCCTGTCTCCCAGATGTGGCCATCACACGGTAAATTCCCCCATGACACTCAGTTTGAGCATAAACCAGACTTTGTTAGGGTTATTTTGTAGCTTCATTGACTCATTGGCTGCTTTATTTGAATCCTGAAATAAGCAGAGTAATTCAGAGGGATCAGAACACATCATTAGTTTGACGTAGTTGGCTCCTTATATTCTGTACAGCATACAACTTTAGTGTTTTTTTTTTGTCTGACTAAAAATGAATCAGTTTACTTTTATTTTGGTTAGATATGCCCTGACCTGATACCAAGATCAAATATTTGCCTTAGGGATTGACTAATTAGCTGGATCAGATATTGGATGAATAATCCCAATTTGTCACAATTTGTTTGTGGGTTGAAGGCCCAAAAGCAGCAGCAGGCAGGCAGAGGTGAATTATTGGTTGATTTAACGAAGAGTAATTGAAAAAAAAAGTCCAAACAAACAGGCAACCAAGAATCCAAAATCCAAAAATGAAAACAAAGTCCAAAAAACAAACAAGAAACCAGGAGTCCAAAATTCAAAACATGAAAAAATAAGTAGAAAACAAACCAGAAAACCATGGAGACATCAGGGAATCAAAACTCAGGGAGGAAAGCTCAGAGAGACGAAGTTGGAGCATGAAAGACGAAGTAAGACGAGGACCCAGCAAAGAGGAACTGAAGAGAGAGGGCTTTTAAAGGAGACAAGGACAAAGAGAGGGCTAATGAGAAGATTGGGAACAGGTGAGGACAAAGCAGAAACAAAACAGGAGCTAGGGTGAAAGGAGAACACCAAAGGGCAGCAGAGGGCAACAAATGACAAACCTGGAAGACTGGAACTAACTAGAAAACACAACAACATAATAATCAAACCACTAGGACTATAAAATATGGAGAAAAGTAAAACTAAAAACTCAAAAGAAAACCTAACAGAACCAAGAAAAACAAAAAAACAAAGAACACAATAAACTAAGAATAAAACCATAAAAACTAAGAAACAAGGAGAAAAGCAAAACTGGATACTCAAAAGAAAAACATCAAAGAAAACAGAAACCTAACACGATCAAATCATTTCGTTTTAGTTTTTTTCATACAACAATGTCTATATTGAACTTGATGCCTTCACTCACATGACAACTTATATGATTCATTTATTAAATCGGTATCAGCCATCAGTTCAGCCCAGGCATCGGTGCTGGACTGTATTGGAAAAAAACTCTCAAATTTTGGCCTCATTATGGAGTAAATGTTGTAGTGTTGTTTTTTCTGGGAGTTTTCTGAGAATTCTGGTGTAAAAACATTGTTCAGGCTTCTTTCTTTTGAAATTTTAGTCAAAGAAGGAAAAGCCTAACAGAAATGTTTCACAGTTGCTAATGTCTGCAGGAAATGATCTTATTCATATTCATGCTTTGTCAGGTTACATCCATTATTATACATGATTTGCAAAACCTTTAATACTTGAATATATATAAAGCTTTTGTATTCAGTCTTTTTTTTCTTAATACCAATCAATAAAATCTTGTGCAATCAGCTGCCTACAAAGGTCATACCCAGTAGACAGAATTCGCTGAATTATTTTATTTTGTTTAAACGTTTAAGATGGGGTGAGATTATAAATCAACATCCCAAGTTTAGAGCATCTCATGGAGCAATGTTCAACATCAGAAAAGATGGATAGCGTATTACAGAACTCGAAACATTTAAGTTCTAAAGAGATAGGCTGGTCAAGGAGCGTATTATTGTATGTTAGAGAAACAGCTGAAAGCCTTTGGTTTCTCTGGAGGAGCAGCAGAGATCCAGCACTCGGATGGGAGAATCTGTGCACTTCACAAATGTGACTTCTTGAAAAAAAAAATTATAAAAGACAGCTATGTTTAAAAGGAACCTAAACAAATTGTCTGTAGATTCCAGGCCCATCCAATGAAAGCTGCTGTTATCTCTGCATCTAATGATGTTTCTTCAAAGGCCCTTTGCAAGACCATGTCATGCTACTTCTGTTGAAAAGCTGGGCCAGAACAAAAATAATAATTTCCTAAGGATCTGAAGGAGGAAACTGTCTCCGTCTCCCATTTGGATGCAACAATTACATAACAATGTGCACTGAGGGCAGGATTTCGCAATGCTAATCATGTACAGATGCAGCCAGGAGTCAATGACAGATTCAGTCATGTCAGAAAGCTTTGAACTAGTTTTTAGCATGTTTGAACAGAATCAACCGATGTGCAAACAGTGGTGGATTCAAACAGCAGGGAAGCAGCGTTTCTAAGAACTCAAGTCAGCACACTCCTGGTCATTAACTTATTCTCGATGCATGCATGCAGCACTGGGGTCATAGCCCCTCATTCCTCTCTCCAATTGCCCTGAGTATTTGTCACAGTGATAGCGACAGAGATACCTTATCGAGGATCTCACATAACATACGCATAGATAGAACCACTTTTAAATAGTTTCTGTTTGTGCAAAAACAGAAAATCTTGTAAATTACAACCTTACATGCAGTGGTACTAATTATGGTCAGGTCAAGACATGCTCAACTTTTTCTTAACTGATTTGTTTAAGATCTTTCAGTCCCTTAGAGCTTCCTGGCACTGTTTTCAATCCCTGGGCATTTTCAGATCTTGACTTGTCACAGGCATAATAAAATTCACCCCTTCCTCACTCTGTATTGCTACAGAAAACCTCAAGACAAGTCTGATATATTTCCAGGACAACTGGGGATTCAACAATGGACTTGTGATAGTGTTTTGTCTCCAAGGTCTGGTTTAATAAAAGGCTGCCATAAAATGATTTCCTCTCTTCCAACTCCAGACGCACGCTTTTCCTGCTCAAGCTTGGCTCCTTCCAGTTTGCCATCCTGAAGCTTGTCTTCACCATCATTTCCCTTATTCTGTGGACCAATGGGAATTTCAGCCAACAAAATGTAAGTTAAAGGGCTGAAAATAAAAACAGCTCCCCAGTCTAAGATATACAGGTATTTCTTTCATTATTGTTGGTTAATGAGTTTTTAAACAGTTTTTTTGTGTACAAGCATTACCTCACAAAGTACTTGTACCCTGTAAACACCAGGGTATTTAATTAGCTTTTAATGTGAACACAAAAACCGACACAATATAAAATTAAAACATGGTAATAAAAACCTTTACAGGCTATGATCATCTTTTAGAGCTGTGTTCAGTCTAACTTGTAAAATTTTAAAGATCATAGCGTTACTAAAATCTGACCGTGATGATTGTCAACTGTCCAATTTGATGGCTAAGAAAAGCAGAATGTTAATCACCCCTCCTTGGAGTACCACACTAAAGGGCTGGTTATACTCCCGAAGCAGTGTGTCGCAGTTAGCATGTTGCAGATATGACGCAGACATTTTTGATTTATGCTAAATATCGAAGCGTGGTCTGCGCTATGTTTATTCCTTGCCATAACCGAAAAGGGGAAAATCATGAACTAGCCGTGGGTCTAGATACAGACGAGGCAGTGAGGTAATGGGGGCAAGTTTGTTCGACAACGGAGGGACATGAGGGAGAAAAGGTGCGGGGATCCAGGTGGAAAAAGGGTCCCAGCGTTCTCGTGCACCTCGCTCCTCTAGCTGGTCCATCTTCCCGAGTCGTTTTCTGCAATTACAGTCAAAACAAACAAACAAAACAAGCCGGTAAGGTACCAAACAGGAGATACGCATGGTGTATCTCCTGCAGATGTATATTTGACTAATCAGAGGCCTCCTGTCTGCAGCACTGTCTGTGGTCACCTACAATTTTGGAGAGGTGCAGCAGAGTGTCTGCGGAGGGGGCGGAGACGTCTCTGCGTTCACCAAGACACCTACGCAGATGACCTAGTTTCGAAGTATAAATCAGCCTTAAGATGGTGGAGGGGTTTCATTGATGTAGATGATATGTTGTCTGGGGTGCAGGTAGAATCCAAGGCAAACTGGCTCTTGATGACAGGTCAGACAAAGAGCAGTTGAGTTTTCGCCTCCCTGAGGTTGTGCAGGAGGTTGAGTGATACTGGCCTGGTCTGTGGAAACGGGTTCCTAGAGAGATGCTGGACTGTCTTCAGCTTTGCAGTGGACCAGTGGGAGAGACAAAGGTCGAGTTAGATTTGCTTGTCTTCCCCCCAGCTCAGCCATCTCTTGTTTGAGTTCACTCTGGTTGATAAGAGGGCCACATCCCTGCATCATCAAATAGTGGGTAGGGCCCTGACTCTTGTCTCAGCCTAAGGGCTGAGTGGCGACACGTTACCCCAGCCGTTCTTCAAGTGCCTGGCAGGAGTGCTTGACAGCTTCCCTCTCATGGACTCTATCATCCTACTGGGGGACTTAGATATACATACAGATATATGTACAGAAGAGCTATATGTGTATATATATTTTATCTCTTTTTATTCTTATTTTTTATCTTATTATATTGTATAGTTGGATGTGTGTATATATCATGTAAAACTGTAACTAGAGCGTGTAACAAAAGTAATTTCCCTCTGGGATTATTAAAGTATTTCTGATTCTGATTCTGACTTCAAGCCCCATGCAGGAATCAGCGATACCTGGTGGGGTGTGATTGGGAAGAATTGCCCCTCAGCTGTAAAACTGAGAGGGGTTTTGGTTATCCCGTAAAAATAAAAAATAAAAAATCCACTGTTTCCAAGTTTAGGTGATTGGCTGTAACACTTAACGTGATTGCGTCATCCAGGAAAAATACACAGGTGGTCACGCCTACAGCCAGGGTTCATGTGTATCTGTTGTGAACTGGTAGGTGGAACCCGTTTAAAATGCCCCCCAGGTCAAAAGTGTGGCTTCACTTTATTAAGACTGATGCCAATAGTGCGCAATGCAATACATCGTGCACGGAAACAATTTAAGAGCAGAAAGTTGCTCGGTGTTTGACTGCAAGAAGAGCGGACCGCAGCCGGGGCGACCATCCTCCTCTCAGCAGCCCGTGGGCAGAGCAAAGCCAGAGCGGAGTGAATCATGCTGCTTTCAAACTGGACGCAGCAGGAGCAGCAAAATCACGTCTGCTGCTTCATTTTTTGCTGCTTGTACCAGCTTCTGACGCGCGGCTGAAGCAGTTTGCTGCTCTGGCTGCGCGGTCGAAAAGTGGCTCTGACGTGCGTTGGGCGGAGCAACTCTATCCTTTCTCTGCCTTGCAGCTATATTTTCTGTGATCAGTGGGAAAAAAGTAGTTTTATTATGTTTTCAAGTGCGAAAATCCACCTGAAAACTTAATCAGTGCTGTCAGTTCATCCTGCCTTCCAATATTTCTGTGGGAGCCGCTCAGACCCCCACATACCAGCGGTGCGCTGTCAATAGGATCCCATTCAACGGGCTTGTTTGTCAGACATGGTAATTTTTCTAAAGGAAAACTGCTAAGTAAAAAGGTCCTCACAATGCAACAGTGAATATTAGACTCTGAAATTTTTTTTTTTTTGTAAGAGGAAAAATGTAAACGGAAAAATCAGAGCTTAAAATAAAACTCAAGATTTGTACTTTTTTATGTTGTGTAATTTTCTTTTTCTTCGAATTGATATTATAAAACTGGTATCGAAAAAAGTATCGTTCAGGAAGCGGTATCGAAGTGAAGGTATCGGTATTGCTACCGGAACCGGAAATTTTTGAACAATACCCAGCCCTATTTAAGGGGGGGATTGTCGTTAAAAGGGGAGATTGTCTCCTGTAAATCCGTGTATCATTCGTTCTTTCTATTTTCAATTGTCAGTCAAAAAACAAAAAATAAAAAATTGACTGGTTATTTTGTTTTTTGTTTTTTATGATTAAACCAAAAACGAAAGAAGGATTTGTTTTTAATCCGTGTATCATTCGTTCTTTCTATTTTCAATTGTCAATCAAAAAACAAAAAATAAAAAATTGACTGGTTATTTTGTTTTTTGTTTTTTATGGTTAAACCAAAAACGAAAAAAGGATTTGTTTTTCATATATCAATTCTAAGCTCAGATCAAGAATACGAAATGGAAAAACGGACAGAATCCGTGTATCATTCGTTCTTTCTATTTTCAATTGCCAATCAAAAAACAAAAAATAAAAAATTGACTGGTTATTTTGTTTTTTGTTTTTTATGGTTAAACCAAAAACGAAAAAAGGATTTGTTTTTCATATATCAATTCTAAGCTCAGATCAAGAATACGAAATGGAAAAACGGACAGCAACGCATAATTTGATTTTAATATTTAATCGGTACAGTTTACGTGACCCGGAAATAGCTCTTTGCGCAGCAGTTGGGGTAATGAAGTGGTTACCATGGCGACGCTAGAACCATACACTATGTTGATCGAGAAGCTGTTTGTTGTTGCTAGTTAAAAGTACAGTGCACAGAAAAGTTTCAAGACAAAAGTTATACCTGGAAAATCCTGCTGATTTTCTCCGTTGTCATGTCCTCCTCCTTAAGAGTCACACGCTTGGATCCTCGAAATAACACGTAACTGTCCATGGCTGATAGGTCCGACTGCCTTATCTGGTGCAGCTTGATCGAACGTGGTGGGGGTAAGCCAATTGTTTTTTTAGCTAACGCTCCACCAAACTTCCGGGTCACGTAAACTGTACCGATTAAATATTAAAATCAAATTATGCATTGCTGTCCGTTTTTCCATTTCGTATTCTTGATCTGAGCTTAAAATTGATATATGAAAAACAAATCCTTTTTTCGTTTTTGGTTTAACCATAAAGAACAAAAAACAAAATAACCAGTCATTTTTTTATTTTTTGTTTTTTGATTGACAATTGAAAATAGAAAGAACGAATGATACACGGATTCGGACAGCAACGCAGAATTTGATTTTAATATTTAATCGGTACAGTTTACATGACCCGGAAGTTTGGTGGAGCGTTAGCTAAAAAAACAATTGGCTTACTCCCACCACGTTCGATTAAACTGCACCAGATAAGGCAGTCGGACCTATCAGCCACGGACAGTTACGTTTTATTTCGAGGATCCAAGCGTGTGACTCTTGAGGAGGACATGACAACGGAGAAAATTTGCAGGATTTTCCAGGTATAACTTTTTTCTTGAAACTTTTCTGTGCACTGTACTTTTAACTAGCAACAACAAACAGCTTCTCGATCAACATAGTGTGTGGTTCTAGCGTCGCCATGGTAGCCACTTCATTACCCCAACTGCTGCGCAAAGAGCTATTTCCGGGTCACGTAAACTGTACCGATTAAATATTAAAAACAAATTCTGCGTTGCTGTCCGTTTTTCCATTTCGTATTCTTGATCTGAGCTTAGAATTGATATATGAAAAACAAATCCTTTTTTCGTTTTTGGTTTAACCATAAAAAACAAATAACAAAATAACCAGTCAATTTTTTATTTTTTGTTTTTTGATTGGCAATTGAAAATAGAAAGAACGAATGATACACGGATTCAACAATCCGTGTATCATTCGTTCTTTCTATTTTCAATTGTCAATCAAAAAACAAAAAATTGACTGGTTATTTTGTTTTTTATGGTTAAACCAAAAACGAAAAAAGGATTTGTTTTTCATATATCAATTCTAAGCTCAGATCTAGAATACGAAATGGAAAAACGGACAGCAACGCAGAATTTGATTTTAATATTTAATCGGTACAGTTTACGTGACCCGGAAGTTTGGTGGAGCTTTAGCTAAAAAAAACAATTGGCTTACCCCCATAGATATCCATAATAAAGGCTTTATTATGGATATCTATGCTTACCCCCACCACGTTCGATCAAGCTGCACCAGATAAGGCAGTCGGACCTATCAGCCATGGACAGTTACGGTCGAGGATCCAAGCGTGTGACTCTTAAGGAGGAGGACATGACAACGGAGAAAATCAGCAGGATTTTCCAGGTATAACTTTTTTCTTGAAACTTTTCTGTGCACTGTACTTTTAACTAGCAACAACAAACAGCGTTCTAGCGTCGCCATGGTAGCCACTTCATCACCCCACTGCCTCGCAAAGAGCTATTTCCGGGTCACGTAAACTGTACCGATTAAATATTAAAATCAAATTCTGCGTTTTTAATCCGTGTATCATTCGTTCTTTCTATTTTCAATTGTCAATCAAAAAACAAAAAATAAAAAATTGACTGGTTATTTTGTTTTTTGTTTTTTATGGTTAAACCAAAAACGAAAAAAGGATTTGTTTTTCATATATCAATTCTAAGCTCAGATCAAGAATACGAAATGGAAAAACGGACAGCAACGCAGAATTTGATTTTAATATTTAATCGGTACAGTTTACGTGACCCGGAAATAGCTCTTTGCGCGGCAGTGGGGTGATGAAGTGGCTACCATGGCGACGCTAGAACGCTGTTTGTTGTTGCTAGTTAAAAGTACAGTGCACAGAAAAGTTTCAAGAAAAAAGTTATACCTGGAAAATCCTGCTGATTTTCTCCATTGTCATGTCCTCCTCCTTAAGAGTCACACGCTTGGATCCTCGAGCGTAACTGTCCATGGCTGATAGGTCCGACTGCCTTATCTGGTGCAGCTTGATCGAACGTGGTGGGGGTAAGCATAGATATCCATAATAAAGCCTTTATTATGGATATCTATGGGGGTAAGCCAATTGTTTTTTTTAGCTAAAGCTCCACCAAACTTCCGGGTCACGTAAACTGTACCGATTAAATATTAAAATCAAATTCTGCGTTGCTGTCCGTTTTTCCATTTCGTATTCTTGATCTGAGCTTAGAAGTGATATATGAAAAACAAATCCTTTTTTCGTTTTTGGTTTAACCATAAAAAACAAAAAACAAAATAACCAGTCAATTTTTTATTTTTTGTTTTTTGATTGACAATTGAAAATAGAAAGAACGAATGATACACGGATTCCTGTAATACCTTAAACCTGTCTATGATTCTTAAGGGTCGGTCGTTTTGGTTATTGGACTTCAAAACAAGTCATTAACTGTTTCTAGAGAAAACCACCTTTAAACATAAGGGTGTTTGTCTGTCCACTTGGCACCAGTGCAGTAATGATAAACCTTATCCTGACCTTTGGGATTTATTTCACCTTTAGCCACATTTTCTGGATGCTCCATCGAGCCAATGACTGGCACCTGGTTTTGAGCTGTGGCTGTTGGAATGGTTGTAAGCCAGACAGACTCTGCAGGCCCAAACGGGTAGTCAGTATCTGCTGGGAATGTCTGTCTCAATCCTTGGTCAAGGGTAAACTTCCATCTCTGGGAGAGATCTTTTCAGATTCCAAGAGAGACTTGGGATATAGAGTTTGAGTGGACCATATACTGACTGGCTCTATGGTGAATGCAGCCACACATAGCATATTGTGTAGTAATCGCAGAACTTTGTGGTGGACAACAGCAGGAAGGGATACCATCAAGCTAAAAAAGCAGTCCTATCTAGAGGCTTAAATAAACATCTGGGAGGGGCTCTTATTATCCATTACTCCTCCACAATGAGAAGAATCAGGTGATTTGGCTCAAGAATCTGTTTTAGATGCCAGCAAGTGTCCTTTGGCAAGTGTTCCAAGCACGCCCCACTGAAAGAAGGGGAGACAGCCCAGGACATGCTTAAGGTACTATGTCTCTTGGCAGTCTATTGAACACCTTAGAGATCACCCAGAGAATCTGTAAATATCTGAAGCTCAGTTGGGAATATCTGTTGAACATCATTATGCTTCAACATAATGGTCTTTGTAGAAACAAGGCTTAAAGACTGCCGCAACTGAAAGGAAGCCCAAAACTGCAAAATTAGCAGTTCTCCCACATTGCTGTACAGGATTTGGACATAAAGACAATAAAGACAGTGCTCTTGTTCTTTCTCGGTGCAAAAAATGTGCCCAACTGACAAGCCAAACAATGGGCTGGCAACGTGCACTTGTTTTAACTCTATACATCACAATGAAAGCATGGATCACAGTGACACAGGGTGGTGATACCATGAAATGTTATTAAATGTCAGGGATGTGGTTGCTTTTGCGAGTCTAGCACTGTTTTTTTTTCTTCAGGAAATTGGTTTTTATTACATGTCATTACTGCTCTAGGACCTAATGTACAAGTTCTCTGTGATAAAAGCTTAACTCTGTTAATAGATGTCAGGTTTTTTCACTAATAGGATAAGAGGATGATAGTTTGTAATTGATTGATTCAGGCTTTACTCTGTCCTTAAAGCATAGTTTGTATGGGTTTTCTGACCTGCCACCATGGTTTTGTATTTTTATTAGTGTAATGGCTATCAAAACTAAAATGAGAAGTGAAAAATTAGCTTTTAGCTTTCATTGTTTTCTTTCCTTTCCAAATCTTGAGATATTCAGAATTACTGGATGATTTGCTCTTCTTGTGTGAGATCAAGCACATCCCCCTATAAAGATGCTATTTGTATCCACTATTTAAGCAAATATTTTATCCCCAGCTCCACTGAGAATCTTTATGCTGCACTACGGTATTTAAAGAGGGATTATTGAGTTTTCTAATGACACTGCCACTTGTGGCTAAAATATATTTCTGCAGCACTCTTCTGTTCATTCTCGTAGCTCGTTCTTAAGACGTTTTCACCTTACACGGAGTTGCCATTGATGTGTGAGTTGAGCTGGATGCCCTTGAATATTCTCAAAATCAATAATAATAACTTTTAGACTGTTTGCTAGGTTGTACCCCTTCAACACGGACGTGCTTGACATCACAACCTCTGAAAAATGCGGGAACTTCCAAACCGAAGGAAATTCATGAAAATAGTCTACAGGCTTATAGATGGATCAGTGCTGAACTACTGAGCTCATCAAATTATGTTTTAATGATAAAGGCTCAAATAAAAAGGCTATTTAAAGGATATTTTTCAGTTAAAAACTTACATAATGTCTCAATGAAGCCTATGGCATTTGTCCAAAAAAATGTCTTTGAACTTTCTTTCTTTCTTACTTTCTTACTTTCTTTCTTTCTACAAATAGTGAGAAATTCTGTTTATTTCTGATGCTTTTTGCCCATAAAACTCTCATTTTGTCATGATGGGTTCAGAAAAGCCCAATATGCAGAACACAACGGAGTCTGATGAAAAGTTTAACAGAGTTTATTGAAGCACATGAAATATTACACTGGAACTGGTTCAGGCCTGGGGGCAGGTTCACTGGAGTCTGTAAGAATGACAGTTCAGTTAGCTCTGGGACTGAAGAGTTTGAGTTTGAGAGTTTCTGAAGAATACCTTGATTAGTCCGGGTTTTGCTTTGAGAGAGGAACTGTTGGGTCCAGAGACTGTTTAGTTCAGCAGAGTCCAATAACCGTTTCAGCGTCTTACTTCTGACTTGAGGGCAGACCTTGGTTTGGGGTTTCCAGCTCTTAGCCAAGAGCTGCATGGGAATCCAGAGAAGAGTCTTCAGGTTTGGCTCAGAGGGCAGGCTCGGCAGGTTAAGCTCATCCAGAGCTAACAAGGGAAACAGGATTCCTGAAAGCAGAGACAAGGAGGTGTTAGAATCTTATCTCAACAGAGATAACAAAGATTCTCAGGAGATTGCTAGGCTCAGGTGCTAACCAAACTGGATCAACACTGCGGCGCCGAGGCAAGGTCTGAAGGCAGGTTATATACAGGAGGATCCACTGATGACAAGATGCGCCTCAGGTGTGTTGGAGGCTCAGCTCAGGAGGATCCACGGCGCACTCCGCTGGAGAAAGGTGGTACAGCTCCAGATCCCAACACATTTAGTATTTATTGGACAAATAAAATTGTAGGAAACGAGACATAATGGAAAATTGCCCCTATTATGTATTTGAGAACCAGCCTGGCACCCTCTCCCTTCACGCTGGTCACCATCTTGGCGGATTACATAGTTGCTCAACTAGTGTTGGTCCAAAATCAGCCAGTGTTGTGGTGATGGTCACGCACAATTGCTAGGTGGGTTAGAGGTTAGGACCACATGAAGGCTGTTCCATCCTATTTAATCCACATAGGTTGCATCTAATAAAAATATCTTCAAGGATATAATTTGCTTCCTAGCAGTGATTTGTGTGTTTTTCATTTCCATGGCTGCAGAACCTCCTCTTTGTGTAGTTTCACTGATATTACCTCAAATAATGGCAATCCTTGTTATTCTGGTGAGAGAGATGCCACCCCACATCCTAACTCAACCTCTACATAACCCTGCTCGGCATTTGGGAACAGACCTTTATGTGTGCAACTCAGATTTTCAGCTCAGCTGCTCAACCCACAAAGACATGTCTTTACTAATGTGGTAGAATTTAATGGATCTGTTGCTAAGAGGTGCTGCTATGGATAATGCATGACGAACCAAACACAAATTGTCCTTATTCCCTGTGCCATGATGACATTGCTACCTTCAATGTCAGATTGTTTAAAATACATTAAAAGGAATTCACTTTTATATTTGTGTTATTCATTTCATGTTTTTTTTATTTTTTTTATTTTACTTTTTTTCATATTTTAAATGTTGTGATGGTATGTTTTAATAAGACTCGTAATGTTCTGTATGAGTTTTTGCATATGCATTTGCAGGCTTATTATCTAAAGATTTTGAGAATTAATAAAAACCAAATCACATTTTTATGTTTTATGATGACATTTAGCTTGTTGTTGAATTGTTGCAAGGATCTTGGCATGAAAAAAATTATTATTACATGATTATATCTCCACTGTGTTTATTTTCTGTTGTTCATCGATCATCTTTTAGATGACAATCACTGGAGCATCTATATGGATCAATCCATTTGTGGGCATCTTAACAATCATTGGTCTGTGGCCTGTCACCATGACTTTCATGCATCTGAGAAACACCTTACAGTCAATTAAGATCGTTCCCAAGTACGCTATGTACCAGGTAAGGTACAATGGAAGGACACACTTCCCCAGCACTGAGGTTGTCTAAAGCTAACGGTATTCATGTGATGGTGTTTGTAGATGCTGCTGATCATGACCCAGCTGCAGACCGCTATAATCAACATCTTGGCCATGAACAAGGTCATCGCCTGCTCTCCACCCTTCTCATCTCCATTCAGAGGATACAGTGAGTCACAACACAATTACTAACGCCGTTACCTTTTTTTAGTAACGAGTAATCTAACTAATTACTTTGACTGTAACTATAACGTTACCATTGCCGACACCCCGTTACTGCGCGTTACTCAGGTCGCACAATTAACCTTTTTTTCACGATAGGACTCGTGTGCGTCTCGTCATGAGAGAGGGGAGGATGAGATTGGCTGATGTATAGTGAGATTCCGTCTGTCAGTTTGGTAGGTGGGTGTTTCTGCTGGCGGGTGTTAACGTACAGCACACACAGAGAGCTGGAGAGTGAGGATGACTCCAGAAGCAAAACAGCGTTTTCCAGATGGAAATACCGGTGTTACGTCGAGCTGCGTTTCCCCATCAGATACAGTTTCCCCTGCATCTCCGCACAGCACAGGCGGTGAGATTCACCACGCAAGCGACAGGAGACGCACATGCTCGCTAAAGGCGCGCAACAGTCGCCCTGTGGTCCCGCCACAGGGGAACTACGGAAAGCGTGAATGATCAAATGTTAGCCTGGATGGATGGATGGATGGATGGATGGATGGATGGATGGATGGATGGATGGCTGTCTGTCTGTCTGTCTGTCTGTCTGTCTGTCTGTCTGTCTGTCTGTCTGTCTGTCTGTCTGTCTGTCTGTCTGTCTGTCTGTCTGTCTGTCAGTCAGTCAGTCAACCCAAACACACAGGATTTCAGAATTAGACATCCCCAGTTATTAATTTCATACACTCACCAGATCTGAACGCCCTGTTAAAAAAAACTTCACACCCATGAGTAGAGATAATGCAGCCTGATGATAGGTACACCGCATCAGATACCGTTCCCCCCATGTTAAGCAGGGGAAACGCTATCTGACGGGGTTTATAGGCCCGTCAGATAGCCTTCCCCCCATGTTAAGCAGGGGAAACGCTATCTGACGGGGTTTATAGGCCCGTCAGATACCGTTCCCCCCATGTTAAGCAGGGGAAACGCTATCTGACAGGGTTTATAGGCCCGTCAGATGGCGTTCCCCCATGATGTAATTTACTTTGAGTTGCAATAAATGCAAAACTCTCTGCAGGTTCTTGTCTTTGTCGTCCACTCTATTCAGCTGTCTTTGGAAACACACAGCGAGAAGGTGGGGGCCGGGTGGTGAGGCCTAGTGGTGGCAATAGTTACTTTTACTATTAACTAGTTACTTTTATTGTGGAGTAACTCAGTCACTTTTTGGGAGAAGTAACTTGTAATTATAACTAATTACTTTTTCAAAGTAACCAACACTGGTCTTTACTGAAGGTCTGGTTACATCTAACCTAGTGGTTGACTCCCCCTAGTGGTCTGGTGCACTTCCATATTTACAGGACAAAAATAACTTATTGTTATTTTTTTCTAGCATTAGTTTTGGATTTCCTTTTTAGTGTTTAGTGTCTTTGCATTACGGCTATGTTTGCATTGCGTTTAGATGTGATTATAACAATCGAGATGTACATGTTTTTGCAAAGTTGCAAACATTTTAAATGTCATATTAATAATAGTTTTTTTATTAAAAATATCTTTGAAATTTTTTGTAATATTTTTGCAATCATAGCTTCAGCTATAGATTAGAGTTTGAACGGTTCCAGAAAATGTAACTAGGACAGAACTTCACTTCTAATTTATATGATTCTCTATAACTTTAATTCATTTTAGTTCATTCACAACTCGTGTCATTTTAGGGCTCTTTAAAGAGGCAGTTCTATGGAATCATACAGAAAAACTGGTTGAATATTTTCTATCTAAGGAAACTCAGCTGACTGCATCGGGTCATTGACTGCAGAATTCTCTCCTCCTGGACGATCATGTGTCAGTAGTGGACAGTGGCTTCCTTAATACTACTGACTTTGCAGCAATCCACCAAGCATGCATGTAGCATAAGAGAGAAAGAAAAAACTCCCTTATTACTATGATATAAAGGAAGTTTAAAATTGAAAAATTTTAATTTGTATGTGCACTTGCAAAATGTTCCTGAAACCTTTTTTAGATTCAACATTTTCTCTATAACACATTGTTTTGTTTTTTTATTTGAATTGTTGAAGGATTATCACCTAAAAGGTATAAAAAGGTGTCTCCACTTTTCAATCATATGAATCTGTTGTTTTTTTTTTTTTTTTTTTTTTTAGGGCTTTCTTGAGCGCCACTGTCTAAAAAAATAAATGGATAAATCACATCAGGCCTAACAGAATTGTTATATATAAAATGTTGCTTCAGTCTGATGATGACTGGCGTGAGGAAACGCATCACTGTCACCGTGCCTCTTTGTGCAAACATTGTTTCTGCTCCGTCACTTTACGCCCTCTGTCTCCGCAGTGCTCAGTCAGAAGCTTCTCATCCTGGAGATGTTCATCATCACTCTGGTCAACCGACTGCTGTATCGACGGCAGTACGACCCTCTGCCAGAGGAAGAACCGGGCGACAATGAGAACACCAAGATGGTCGAAATAACAGTTTCTGCATGAATGTGTGTGTCTGAGTGTGCGTCTATGATTAGGAAAAATGTGTAGAGTTTTATTAATCAATAAATATGAATTCAATGTAAATCAGTTAAGTGGTTCTATGTTTGACTGATGGGACACTCAGGTCACTTTTTAGAAAACAGCATCTTGACATAAAGGGAGCTTATTACAGCAGTCTGATGGAATATTTTTCTCTTTTAAAGTATGTTTCCTCTTAAGTATGAACACTAACTGACCCGACTGTACATTGGTGCTGTGAAATAATTATCTGTTCTCTAATGGCACCTTATTGAATTTTATAGCATTTTTTCCACATAAAAATGTACAGCTTTCAAATGTACATTCTTGTTTAAAATCTTTCCCTAAATGTTATGATTGGACTTAAATCTCTGTTTGCTGACAATCTTTGAGGTTTTAAATGGTTTCCTCTTAGTTTAATGCAAGCTCTTCATGTTTGCTTTTAAAGCATGCAGTGTAAAAGTTATACCAGCAACTGTGAGCCGCTTGGGCATTGAGGCGGTGCAGCCCAGACTATGGCACCTCCATCTCCGTTCATCACAGCTGAATGGGGAGTATTTCAGGGAAGCTTTAATCAGTCTGTATTTTTGCTGCTATTTTTATTTAGATTCTGACATTAAATTTGGAGCAAGGTTAGAGTACCATAACGGAGACAGAAGTGACAGCATTACCAACTGTAAATTGGTTTCCCCCCGCCTCAGCTAGGGGTAATTAGATAACACATTGCTGTTTCAAAGAGGATCAAACCATGAGTTGTTTTTGTTTTCCCTTTGTTATTATGAATATTAATTATGTAACATCTCTACTGACTTTTGTGTGTTTGTGTTTATGATTGTCTAGAGTTTTGTTTTTTTGTTTGCTAAAAGAGAGACCTTTACTTTGCAAGGATTTAGATTCCTTTTAGTTTCCCCAAAAGCGTACCTTTGTTCAATATGTAACAGCTTTTTAATATGAATGATGGGAAAAAAAGCTGAAAATCAGGGGCCAAAGATTTGTTAAAGGAGAATACTGTAGACTAGTGTACCAATGTTATTGTCAATAAAGATGCTTGTATTTTTCTACAGGACTTTTTTGCTTTGTTTTTTGTTTTTTTGTGTGTGTGTCAGTGTGCTGGTTTTACAAAGTGGAAAGAAAATGGTATAGAGCTGCGCTGGTGAAGATTCTCAGTCATCCAGGTCATAGTCATTTCAAAAAAGTAAAAAAAAAAAACAGCAGTGGACTTTGTTTCCCAGTTTGAAGATCTTTCACTTCCCATCCAGGAAGCTTCTATAATTGAAAAAGCTTCCTGGATGGTAAGTGAAACGTCTTTAAAAACTTGAAAACAAAGTACAGTGGATTGTTTTTTAACTTTTTTGGAAGGTATAGAACTTTCTATTTTTTAGGTTTATATATGCCTTACAGTTCTTTAACTGGAAACACATGAGTTGCCTTCCCTAGTTTGCCCTACATTAATCTAGGGGGGGAAACAACGCAGAGTTAAGCTGAGTAAACTTTAAAATTTATTCTTTAGATTTTTCTTCTCTCTCTCTCTCTTTTTTTTTTTTTTTTACATCTTTAATATAATGTGATCTTTGTTATGATTTCCTTGACTTTGAATTGGACATTGCTTTGATAATAAACTGAATTAACAGCTTTAATGGTCCCCGTTGAAATTATTGACTACAGTTAATGGGAAATACATAATATTCTGTTACTTCTATATTTTTTTTATCTTTAAAAATCACTTTAAATGCCTTTTAAACCTTAGACATATTTATCATTGCTGAACCTGGATACCTGGTCATTGTTATGTTATCATCGTGCCACTAGAGGGAGGCAGAGACCCTGCTTGGTCTCTATTTATTCAGCAGAGCCGAGCGCGATTTGTGGCACTGGCAGGTCGCTCTGGAACTTCCGGTGGCAGGTCGGACTGCCACGGCGTATTACTGGCAGCTGCCAGTAGTTGTGGCAGCTGCCACTAGGCTGCCACAACTACTGGCAGCTGCCACAACTACGGAGACTGGCTGCCAGACCGGTTTAAACCGTTTCTGGGGCTGCCGGCGCCGTTTTTCGGCAAAAAACTTAGTTAACGTGACTCTATTGGTGGATTTTTTTTTTTTTTTTTTTATTACGATCTTAGTTAACGTGACTCTATAGGTGGATTTTTTTTTTTTTAATTACGATCTTATTGTTTAATAAAATGTGTCAAGCCTTTCATAAAGTCTTAGAGGTAATTCGTCTGAAAATAAGTGGAAATTGACAACTGTCACATCAGGGTGACAGTCTTCACTGACACCTGCCAGTAGTTGTGGCAGCTGCCACAACTACGGAGACTGGCTTCCAGACCGGTTTAAACCGTTTCGGGGGCAGCCGGCGCCGTTTTTCAGCAAAAAACTTAGTTAACGTGACTCTATAGGTGGATTTTTTTTTTTTTATTACGATCTTATTGTTTAATAAAATGTTTCAAGCCTTTCATAAAGTCATATTTATTTAATGGAACGACGTAATTCGTCTGAAAATAAGTGGAAATTGACAGCTGTCACATCAGGGTGACAGTCTTCACTGACACCTGCCAGTAGTTGTGGCAGCTGCCACAACTACGGAGACTGGCTTCCAGACCGGTTTAAACCGTTTTGGGGGCTGCCAGTGCCGGTTTTCGGCAAAAAAGCTTAGTTAGCGTGACTCAAGGTGGATTTTTGTTTTGAAATGATGATGTTATTGTTTAATAAACTGTGTCAAGCCTTTCATAAAGTCATATTTATTTGATGGAACGACGTAATTCGTCTTAAAATAAGTGGAAATTGACAGCTGCCACGACAGGGTGAAAGTTTGGCTGTCCTGCCAGTTTATGCTGGCAGCCTGGTAGTAGTTGCCAGTCGTTGTATATATATGTATAATATATATATGTATATATTGTATATATGAGAGAGAGAGAGAGAGAGAGAGAGAGAGAGAGAGAGAGAGAGAGATTTTTAGTGCTTTATGAACGTAACAACAAGGTTATATGGCCTGCATGCTTGACTCGAGACAGCCTCCAAACTGGCCCGGTCGGGAGGGTGGAGAAATCGGCTGCGGCTTCCTCTAGTCTTGTGACGCATGCCTGCAAATCTTCATCATCCACCAAAGTTCGTACTGTAACATTACCATTGCTGTTCGTCTCGTCATCTACTCTTGATTCTGTTTAATGTTCGGGCCTAAATATGAAAAACTGCTTTTTTGACAATTATGCTGCCACACGTTCTCATTAATTTCTTGGTTAGTTAGCAGGTGCTCTCTCAGGTAAATATCTAGATCCAGTAGGTTACATTATTGCTTTTGCGCCATCTACTGTCTGAACTCGGGAGTGGGTATTAGTTTACTTTAACCGCTTCGGGAAGAAAACTTATTAATACTCTTTACAATAAAAACAAAATTAACAAATGTGAAGGACACAAGACATGTATTTATATTAGGGCTGTAAAAAGATCATTTTTTAATTGCAATAAATCACATAATGTTGATAGTTAATTGCAAGATTAATCACAAATTAATTATGTATTTTATAATTTCATATCTGAACGTGTAATAGCCTGTTAGGGCATTTTCAAAGGCAATTTGGGAATAAATGACACTAATAAAATACATGCTTGTACAAACAATATTTTAATTTTGTTATTTTTCAAGCACTTTCAGAATTGGAATGAAGACATCCTAGTGCCAAATGAATCCGTGTATCATTCGTTCTTTCTATTTTCAATTGTCAATCAAAAAACAAAAAATAAAAAATTGACTGGTTATTTTGTTTTTTATGGTTAAACCAAAAACGAAAAAAGGATTTGTTTTTCATATATCAATTCTAAGCTCAGATCTAGAATACGAAATGGAAAAACGGACAGCAACGCAGAGTTTGATTTTAATATTTAATCGGTACAGTTTACGTGACCCGGAAGTTTGGTGGAGCTTTAGCTAAAAAAAACAATTGGCTTACCCCCATAGATATCCATAATAAAGGCTTTATTATGGATATCTATGCTTACCCCCACCACGTTCGATCAAGCTGCACCAGATAAGGCAGTCGGACCTATCAGCCATGGACAGTTACGGTCGAGGATCCAAGCGTGTGACTCTTAAGGAGGAGGACATGACAACGGAGAAAATCAGCAGGATTTTCCAGGTATAACTTTTTTCTTGAAACTTTTCTGTGCACTGTACTTTTAACTAGCAACAACAAACAGCGTTCTAGTGTCGCCATGGTAGCCACTTCATCACCCCACTGCCTCGCAAAGAGCTATTTCCGGGTCACGTAAACTGTACCGATTAAATATTAAAATCAAATTCTGCGTTTTTCCATTTCGTATTCTTGATCTGAGCTTAGAATTGATATATGAAAAACAATCCGTGTATCATTCGTTCTTTCTATTTTCAATTGTCAATCAAAAAATAAAAAATTGACTGGTTATTTTGTTTTTTATGGTTAAACCAAAAACGAAAAAAGGATTTGTTTTTCATATATCAATTCTAAGCTCAGATCAAGAATACGAAATGGAAAAACGGACAGCAACGCAGAATTTGATTTTAATATTTAATCGGTACAGTTTACGTGACCCGGAAGTTTGGTGGAGCTTTAGCTAAAAAAAAACAATTGGCTTACCCCCATAGATATCCATAATAAAGGCTTTATTATGGATATCTATGCTTACCCCCACCACGTTCGATCAAGTTGCACCAGATAAGGCAGTCGGACCTATCAGCCATGGACAGTTACGGTCGAGGATCCAAGCGTGTGACTCTTAAGGAGGAGGACATGACAACGGAGAAAATCAGCAGGATTTTCCAGGTATAACTTTTTTCTTGAAACTTTTCTGTGCACTGTACTTTTAACTAGCAACAACAAACAGCGTTCTAGCGTCGCCATGGTAGCCACTTCATCACCCCACTGCCTCGCAAAGAGCTATTTCCGGGTCACGTAAACTGCACCGATTAAATATTAAAATCAAATTCTGCGTTTTTCCATTTCGTATTCTTGATCTGAGCTTAGAATTGATATATGAAAAACAAATCCTTTTTTCGTTTTTGGTTTAACCATAAAAAACAAAAAACAAAATAACCAGTCAATGTTTTATTTTTTGTTTTTTGATTGACAATTGAAAATAGAAAGAACGAATGATGCACGGATTAAAAACGGACAGCAACGCAGAATTTGATTTTAATATTTAATCGGTACAGTTTACGTGACCCGGAAATAGCTCTTTGCGCGGCAGTGGGGTGATGAAGTGGCTACCATGGCGACGCTAGAACGCTGTTTGTTGTTGCTAGTTAAAAGTACAGTGCACAGAAAAGTTTCAAGAAAAAAGTTATACCTGGAAAATCCTGCTGATTTTCTCCATTGTCATGTCCTCCTCCTTAAGAGTCACACGCTTGGATCCTCGAGCGTAACTGTCCATGGCTGATAGGTCCGACTGCCTTATCTGGTGCAGCTTGATCGAACGTGGTGGGGGTAAGCCAATTGTTTTTTTTAGCTAAAGCTCCACCAAACTTCCGGGTCACGTAAACTGTACCGATTAAATATTAAAATCAAATTCTGCGTTGCTGTCCGTTTTTCCATTTCGTATTCTTGATCTGAGCTTAAAATTGAAATATGAAAAACAAATCCTTTTTTCGTTTTTGGTTTAACCATAAAAAACAAAAAACAAAATAACCAGTCAATTTTTTATTTTTTGTTTTTGGATTGACAATTGAAAATAGAAAGAACGAATGATACACGGATTAAAAACCAATCCTTTTTTCGTTTTTGGTTTAACGATAAAAAACAAAAAACAAAATAACCAGTCAATTTTTGATTTTTTGTTTTTTGATTGGCAATTGAAAATAGAAAGAACGAATGATACACAGATTAAAAACAATCCGTGTATCATTCGTTCTTTCTATTTTCAATTGTCAATCAAAAAACAAAAAATAAAAAATTGACTGGTTATTTTGTTTTTTGTTTTTTATGGTTAAACCAAAAACGAAAAAAGGATTTGTTTTTCATATATCAATTCTAAGCTCAGATCTAGAATACGAAATGGAAAAACGGACAGCAACGCAGAGTTTGATTTTAATATTTAA